AATATAACTCATCAGAGCTAATTTGATGCTGTTGGCATATCATGTATGCTTGACCATGATCTTGGCTTGCAAACTGCTTAATAATATTCATTATTTTAAATTAAAGTTGAAGAAGTGCAGACTTTACCTCAAATTAAGATTGGTTGTGTTGCCGGAATCTGGTAATTACTTTAATTGATCACCAGATAGTTTCCTTGATCACCAATTACACCCAATTACTGATTATGTTTCAAGACGTGAAGAAATGTCCAAACTGATTATGTAATAATGTTTTCATATATAATTAGTCTGAAATAGCTTTTCCATCCACTGCCAAACGTATTTTATAAAGGAAGGTTACAGGCCTACAGATACAAAAGGTGATCCATAAACAATAAAGTTCTAATTTCATTTAATTAGCAAGGGAAGTATTTAGGGGGCTTAATGGAGATTGCTCTGCTGAAATTACTTCAACAGACCTGCTTCTCATTTTCATGGTACGAAATATATGTAATCTGGAGGTTGCTGTGTGTATGCTTAAAATGGACTGTAACCAACTGTCTTATTTAACAAGTCCATAGAAATATTATCAGAGTTGGCTAATATTATGTAAACCAACAGCTTTGACAAGATATACAACATATTCTTCATTTGTTAATTTAATTTTTTCATAAAACATTTTGACACCATTATTATTATTATTATTATTATTATTATTATTATTAGGCATTCAAATGCTCTGGTTATAGTTGAATTGATTGATAGTGCTTATTCATTCTAGTGGAATATACACATATTTAATAAGGCTCATTTTTCAGATAAAGGAATATTTAGGGTTTTGGGGCCTGATTGAGTCCAAAGAACATTAGGAATATAAGAGCTTATTTTGTACAGGTCAGCCTATTTGTATATACAGTATATCTACCCAAGCATTGTCCCTAGGATTGTCCATTGGTGGTGGTTCCACTGGGTTTTACTTAGAGGTCATTTATCACCACTTACTAATTAATTATTATGCCTGGAGATGTCAGAGGTTACACTTTGGCCCTTTAGGCAAATTATGTGTCCTACCCCAGAACTTTCATGCTATCTCTAGATTGAGCATGATTTTTTTTAAAGTATTAATATCAGTACAATAAAATAATTAGAAGGTGATCACAATTGCACTTAACACTTTTCTTTATTAGACTCTTTATAGTAGGATATGCTGCGACTTGGTAATTCTGAATTTTTGGGCCCAAGTCAGGGAACTGAATGTTGTAAAGCAGGACAGCAGCTACATTTAGGAAAGAAGAGAAAAAGAATAGAAAAAAGAGTTTAGGAATGGAATGAAGTGGAAACTAAGACCCTTGAACTGGCAAAGCCTTTTCAATCCATGAAACTGTATAAATGGAAAGTGTTGCAGGTCTTTTTAGGTGAGATGGGGCTGCATCGTTGCTCTGTTCATGACAATTATGTGCTGGACTGTTGATATTGTATATTATGCTTCTGTCCTCCACTCGCTTTAAGGCAATATGGAGGTAGAGAAGAATGGGCCATCGATTAGATTTAGGATGACAGGCTTCTGTATGTAAAAACTGTGTTTTACCACTTGATTAGGAAAGCTCGGAAAAGATGATGCTGGGGAAAATGGAAAGAAAAAGGAAGAGGGGCTGATCAAGGGCAAGATAAATGGATGTTATTCTTGAAGTGACTGGCTTGACCTTGAAGGAGCTGGGGATGGCTATGGCCCACAGGGAGCTCTGGTGTGGACTGGTCCATGAGGTCACAAAGAGTCGGAAACTACTGAACGAATGAACAACAATAAAGGAGACAGCAGACAAAAAGGATGTGTGCTGCAGCTGTGCTTAAAATTATTCTGCATATTCTCTCAAACTATTAAAAGCTTGAACCATTGACCAATATATATAGCTATCTACTCAGTCTCTGATACATTTGTGGTGGGCAAGTATCTTGGAATTGAAATAATGACACCCCCCCCCCTTATTAACTTTACACAAGGAAGACCTTTGAAATGTGAGTGAAGTATACATTTTGCCAAAGGAGGAAAAAAAAGAGAAATGCAGATGAATCAAAACGAAATTAATTTGAAGAGGTTGTAAAATGAGATCTTTTGCTTTTTGATATTCTTCTTCATCCGACCATTCCCAGATATTCTCAACTCCAACCATTCCTGGGCAGCAGTTGTATTCATGGACTTTGTAGTCTGTGTGAAGGAGGAAAAAGACAACCATAAAAGTTCAAAACGAGCCCTTCTGAAGGACCCAGTCAATAAATGTGCTCCCTTAAACTCAACAGAGGCAACATCATGTCATTCTCTGTAAACCTCTAAGGGCAAAGGTCCAAATGAAACTCTGAAGGAAATTGCAGAGATCAAAATAAATTTTAATAATATAAGCTGATTATCCCATATTAAAAATGCTTGGGACAAGAAGTGCTTTGGATTTTAGATTTTGGAATACTTGTATTGGCATATATATACATAATGAGAGATTTTGGAGATGGGACCTAAATCTAAACATAACATTGATTTGTGTTTCAAATTACATATAAACGGTTCCGGCCCAAGCTACCTATCTGACCGCATCTCTGCCTATGAACCCACCAGGACTTTGAGATCTTCCGGGGAGACCCTGCTCTTGATCCCGCCTGCTTCTCAAGCTCGGCTGGCGGGGACGAGAGATAGGGCCTTCTCGGTGGTGGCTCCTCGGCTGTGGAACGCCCTTCCTACGGACATTAGACTAGCACCATCTCTAATGGTATTCCGCAAAAAGGTGAAGACCTGGATGTTTGTGCAGGCGTTTGAGTAATTTAGTGCAATCTGGTAATGGAACATAGGAATGGAACAATGGACGATGAACCTGGACTACGCTTAGATGATGAGAAGATTGGTTACGGTTGTTTTTTGTAATAATTGTGCATTGTAATTGCTTATTGGTAATTTATGGATAATGTGTTGTCAATTGTTATATGTTGTATGGAACCACTGCTGTTTCTACTGTTTTTACTGTTTGTGAACCGCTGTGAGTCGCCTTCGGGCTTGAGATACAGCGGTATATAAGCGAAGTAAATAAATAAATAAATAAATAATAAATAAGGTAATTCTATACAATATTTTTAATAACTTTGTGTATGAAAAAAAGTTTGTGTATATTAAACCATCAAAAAGCAACAGTGTCATCTCAAAATTTTAAAATTTCGGAATAGAGGGAATGGGAATAAGATGTGGAAGCAAATGTAAGCACAATGAGAAGAAACTATCAGTTGGGGTTAGGATACAAGTTGGGAAAAGAAATGAGAGAAGATGTTAAGAATGGCTTGAGAGGCATGTGGAGATGTAACATATAAACAGTCTTCTGTTAATAGCCTCTGGATCATCCCATTCTGCCTGAAGTTGAAAGGCTAAATAATGTTAACATATAGAACCAATGTTCCATACACCTGAGTAATGCCGACAGTGCAGCTCCTTGCTTTATGAAAATTGCTATGTCAAAGAACATAGCAATATCTAAAAAGAGATTAGATATTAATATAAAAGGTTAACAGTAATTGCCAGCTAACTGCAGTCCACCTGAAATTATCTTGCTACTGGTTCCATCCCTGCTCTGCCATTTGGTGAGTGGTGCGGCTCATTCAGCAATTTAAAGGGTGCCATGAGAATAAGAAGTTTGAGAACCCTGTTCTGAAACATTAAGATAAAAATACCTTTATACAAAATGCATATTTCAGGAGTATTTAGTCCGTCGGAGCTGGCCATATGTGACTTTTGCATAAATAAAAGATGGCTTAATACATGCTACTTGTACTTTGAAAGGTTTCAAAACCACTTTAACTATACTTTGAAACATAAATTATTTTGTTCAAGTGCAAAGAAGGCAACGATCGTAAGCACAATTGCTTGGGAGAAAATTCTGTGGAACTTGTTGGGACTTAAATTTCAATAAAAGTGAGCAAGTTCAGGCTACTAACGAAACAAGAGCTTGAAGGAAAGTTTCTGGTCATTTCAAATGCTGACAGTTTGGTGATTTGTAAATGAAAAACTTCACTGGAATAATTTGCCCTGATTGTAATGACTGCCTTAATCTGATTGACAAAGTGGCTTGCAAAGTCATACTTCATTCAGTCACCAGCGATGAAGAAAAAAAAATACTAGAACTATTACCAGCCATTATGCTTTTTCTTAAGGGTGCGTTTGTTTAAGATTACTGTTGTGGGATCGAACATATTTCAGTGCACATTATTTTGCAGAGACTATTCAATGGTTTTAGATTAAGATACTGATTTATTGAAATATATTTAAAATATATTTTATGTACAATACATTAATTTATTTAAATTATACATTTTATACACCATACATCAATAGATTGTTAATCCTGTGCAAAATTGGTACTTGAGGGTACATTATTAGAAGGAGCTATATAAAGTTAAGAGTTCTGATATTTTGAGCTTATCTGTAAATAATATCAAGATCTTTTTTACACACAAAAAACTTGTGGAGTGTAGGCTTGTGCTTTGTTTCTAGAACGTTCTCATCAACCACGGACTCAGTAGGTGGTCTGAGGGAAGTTAGTGTTTTCTTGGTGTCCCTCTGCATTATGAAAATAATAATGTTTGTCTACTTTTATAAGGCTTTTGTTGGCGTTATTGAAATAATGAAGCACTTGGAATATTTGAAACATGCTTTATAAACACATCTGTTGTTGTTGCATTTCAAAATATTGGTAGATTTTCTATTCAGCCAAATGCCATCAATCATACAGCCATTAAGAACGATCTCTTTACTGTCATTTTTTGTTCCACAAGCAACATTTTGCCAGAGAATGGTTTGCTTCAGGATTGTGTGTGTATATATGGGCTCGGTGTCTTCTTTGCTTTATAGTTTCTGTTCTTTTCATTTACTGTTTTTAGATACTTCAATTCTCTGTCACTCTTATTCCCATGTCTCTCCATACATAGTTGCCTAGAAGATGACACTTACATACTTATATAGTGTTTACATATTTCTTTTCTTAACACAGGCATTCGGTTTTATGACTCGGATTGCTCTTCAGGCTGAAAAAATGAATCATCACCCTGAGTGGTTTAATGTCTACAATAAGGTATTAAATGTAATAATAACTGGACTGTTTTCATTAGCCACTGGGGAGTACTGGGCCCTTGACCAGAGAGTAATATTGAAAAGACAAGTAAAGTGAGATTAACATTGCTGGTGTTAATATTATTTTACATTTGTTCCCGTGTTAGTCTGGAATATCAGTGTGCAAAGGGATCTTGTAGCACTTTAGGTAACAACTGAGAGAACAAAAGTCTGCAACAGTGGTTCTCAACCTGTGGGTCCCCAGATGTTTTGGCCTTCAACTCTCAGAAATCCTAACAGCTGGCTGGGATTTCTGGGAATTGTAGGCCAAAATACTTGGGGAACCACAGATTGAGAACCACTGGTCTATAAGATCTTATGGTACCAACTTGGTTCTCAATTAATCTCCAAAGTACTGTAATATCCCTTTGCATACTGATATTCCAGACTAACACGGCTATGTCTTTGAATTCGTTAGCTGTATTAATCTAGAATATTAGTATGTAAAAAGATCTTGCAGCATCTTAGAGACTAGCTGACAGAACAATGTTGATAACATAAGGTTTCATAGACTAATTCTACTTCTGCATATGAGGAAATAGACTAAGTCTATGAAAGCTTACACTACCACCTTCTTTCATTTAGTATCTATGGTGCAGCAAGATCCCATTGTCTACTTTGAAGGGTTAAGGAACTCAGCAGAAACACATGGGATGTTTTAGGGGTCTGCAGTGGAGTAAAGTTGAAAATCCCATTGGATGAGTGAGCTTTCTATTACACAGTGTTGCTTTCTATCCCAATCCCTTTAAAGAAAAAAATGAAGGAGTTTGACTGTCCTGCATGCAGATGTTCTAAGTAAAATTTCCAAATTATAGTCAGTGTAGAATACCTCTAGACACAGAAATAAGAGAAAGAAAACATCTGAGTGAGGACAGAATATAGACCTCTGGGAAAGCAGCTGGAAAGAGAAAACTCAAAAGAGGGATCCAGGTTTTTTCAGAAAGACAGGCAATTGCATCACAATTTGGGTAGTGTAAAACTGTTATCTAAGTCTTCCCATTTCACTGTGGGAAATGGTTAGTTGCAGATAAATTTTACCCATCTTAAACCAAATTCAAGGATAGCTTGGATGGCTGGTTATGGAGAGTGTAATTTCTAATGATAGCAAACAGCTATGTTTACATTGAAACTGATACCCAATGATCCTGGAAAGCAAGAAGACGGAGTAAATATATTTCTGGTATGTATTTAGTGTCTGAGAATTAAAACCAAGATAATCTAGACTTCCAGCCTGTATTATTATCTCCCCCTTTGTCTAACCAGAAAAAAATTGCAAGCTTCTGGGCCAGGGAGAAAGTGTAAATAATCCCTTCAAGGCAGCTGCGTCATACCAATACAACTCCAGTCTGTTTTTCTCTTCAGTACTGACCTGCACAGTATTATCAAGTTCTTCACCTTTGAGTTTCTGGTTTGAATTGCATAACTTAGCATTTGCAATTGGGTTAGGGTCTGATTTCCTTCCGAAAGCAAGATACGCAATTACTTTTTTTAAAAGGGTAATTTAATTGGACACCTTTCTTCAGGAGGAAGCACTGGAATCCCAACCCACAAGTGTTCTGTGCTTTGTGCCAGAGCTCCCTTTGGTTAGTCTCCAAGTTCTTTCAAGGCTGTTCACCTGACAGCTGTGTTATGTGATGCCTTTTATTTGAAAAAGCAGTGCCATTCCAATTTACAATCAGCAGACAGGAATTTTTTTTTTAAAAAAAAGAAATTAAATTTGTAAATATACAAATCAAAATATGTGTCAAAGAGTTTGAGACTGAAATCCGGATCTGGTCAGTCTGTATGCAAACACATTTGCTCATGAATAGTAACATTCTTTTTTTCTCCTTTCTTATTAACAGGTCCAAATAACTCTCATTTCCCATGACTGTGGTGGGCTGTCGAAGCGAGATGTCAAACTGGCTCAGTTTATTGACAAAGTGGCTGCGTCTGTCTAACCAGTGGATGTTGAAATCAGTGTTGAAGCAGCATTTCCTTCCCTCTGTGTTATATGAGGCCATCATTCTCATCTCTCTTTCTCTCTTACTTTCTGAAATATGTTGATCCTCAAGTTCCCCCATCGTTTCAAAGGCTGAAATACAAGCATAGAGAGATTTGTTGGATGTGCAGCATATTTGCAGACAAGACATTTGGGCGAAGAAGAATTATGTGTGCTGAGCTCCTTGCTGCTTGTATAACTGCATATGACTATACACTATAATTACTATACCAATTGATAATTGTTTCCAGAGAGCAGAAGTTAAAAGCTAAATCACTTGCTTCATTCCTTTTATTAAAGGCTGGCTTTTGTCCTTTCCATTCTTTAGACCATGATTTAGACCATGAACTTTTACCTTGGAGATGTTTTGGACTCCTTAGCTAGGGGAATCCCTAGCTAGCATGACCTGTGCTAATGACTTATGGGTTTTGTAGTCCAAAATATTTTGTGGGCCAAAGGTTCCCCATCCTCTGATATTTAGAGATCTATATGACTCAGATTCTAGACGTCTAAAGTGCCATATTCTCTGGTACTAGCCTAGTCTAGTTTTGACATTTTGTAGGGAGTCTCTTCTCTTATTCTGCTATCCTCATATGTCCATTTGGTTCTTAGTTAGGCTTCTTTCTAGGCTGTGGGATCTCCCATCCAATAAATTTTAGGCTCCCAGCTTCACATCATTGTATTGTCCTCCTTCTACCAAGCAAATAACTTTTTCATGCTGACAGGTCTTTGAAGTCCTCTGCATTGGATTTTTTCCAAAGAAGCTTTTGACCCAAATAAGTGCCATATTTTCTTTTAGGTGTTTTTTGAAGCCAGTATGGTGCTGTGATTTGAGTGTTGGGTATGACTTTGGAGACCAAAGTTGAAATCCCAGCTCAACTGCAGAAACCCACCGTGTGACTGGAAAAGTTGTACTCTTTCAGCCTCAGAGGAAGGAAAAGGCACTGAACAAATCTTGCCAAGGAAATCCCATGATAAGGTCACCATAAGCTAGAAACGAAGGCACACAAAAATAAATGTTTTAAGTAATCACATCTAGATGTAGGATTAGCCACTTTAAACACCAGGGTTTATTTTTTTTTGGGGGGGGGGGAAGAGAAAATAGATTAAAATAAAATGGACATTGCACATTATATGTCTTCATGCAGTCCGTATCCCATATTTCGTATTCCAAGGGTCAAGGGGAGCTATTGCTGAAATGCACTGTGTGGCAGGAGATGGAGTTGAGGGGAAAATAGGTGACAACCCCTGTCCTGCATATGTAACTACTGTGCTTTCCACTCATATGTGGGTTATTTTGGACCCCAGCCATTAAAGATAATTGTGTGTGCAACAATTGTGTTGTTTTCTTAGAAGTCATAGTAGTTTATTCACATAAAATATGGGCAAAATCTAAATGTTAAGCTCATGTAAGTCAAATTGATACCATATTCTTTCAGTTCTCATGCCAGGTGAAATTGGCTCTGCAACCTCAGACTCGGGTCTGATTATAACTAGAGAATCTTGGATCATAGATCCTATTATCTTGTGTGGTAATGCTGCCACCAGCCTGTTTAAAGGTGGTATATCACTCTGGGCTCCCCAAAAGCACAATTCAGAACAAGCAATGAAATGGAAGGAGGTTAAGCAGAGAGCAGAGAAAACCTTGGCTCGCTAAGCTAGAGACCAAAGACTGAAGCAGATTTGTTGAGAAACAGTTTCTCCTGGGCGCATAATCATACATACGGTAATCAAATGTATAGAGAACATACAGTTATTTACAAGGCCCAAACTTCATGGGATGCTCAGTTCCACGTTGTTTTCCTTTTAGTATAAAAAAATCAAATGCAACTGCAGCAGCCGAAATCTGGAGAAGACTGGCACATGAAGAGGGGTTTCTTAGCACTTTTAGCTCTGATACCTTTCCTTTCTCCTGCAGGTTATAGGAAGCAGTCATGTGCATTTTTAACAGAAAAACCTTTACATGGCAGGAGTTTAAAAGTGTTTTCCTTTCTCTGACTCCTGGAGTGTTCAGGTTCATGTGAAAAGCCTTGCTCTTAATGAGTCAACACTGCAAAGGCTAACAATCATCCATCAATCCATTACTTTATTGCAAACAACAGACCATTGGAGCAACATGTTAAATACATTTTTAAAAAGTGCCAGTGAGCATTCAAATCGGCAGTATACATTGCAGTAAAATCAAATAAGTAATTATGAAAATGCAGCATTAAATAAAGTAGTATCGCATAGACAAGGATGATCTGGTCATCAGTATACCCGGCTCTATCTCTCCTTTACAACTGATGCCAAGGAGATTGGTAGGACTGAATCATTTCCTGGATACAGCGAAGGCCTGGATGTCAGTGAACAGCTTAACCTTGACATGTCAGGTTAAGCTGTTCACCAGTCAGTAGGAAAATCAGCCTAGATTGGGAGCATCCTGCCCTGGATGGGATTTCTCTTCCCCTGAAAGATCAAGTTTATAGCTTGGGGTGCTCTTTGGCCTGGGGGCGCTTACAGAAAACCAGTTTGTGGTGGCCAAGAACATCTTTGCTGGGGAAGATCTGGCCAGTTTTTCATGTTTCCTCTCAGTGTTTGGAAGCTTCAGCTAGTATAAAATGCATCAATTGATTTCCAAGTTGCTTCTGAGCTCAATTCAAGTTGCTGGTGTCGAGCTTCAAAGCCCTAAATGTCTTGGGGCCAAGATATTGGCAAGGCCTTCTCCTCCTTGACTGTGGAACTCTCTACCAAAGGAAGTTGGGTTGGCTCTGTTTATTTCATGCTTCTGGCAGGCAGGCAAGCAGTTCTATTCCACATGATATTCGGTGTTTAAAATTGCTCATGACTGTTTCAAAACGGGATTCTAAGATGATTTTTAGACTATTTTATGAACTTTTGAAGTGTATTCTTTCAAGAGCAATGTGTTTTGAAAATGTTTTGATTTTTGTATTGTTTTAATAGGTTTGAACAGTTCATTGTTTTGGGTGGCCTTTTGGGATAGGCGGTGGTACAGAAATACTGTTAATAAATAAATACTAAAAAACAATCCTCCTGTATTTTAATAGAATGAGAAAATGCAAATGTTTGCAATGAAAAATAAGTAGTTCTTCTGTACTTCATTTATACTTAAAAGGTTTTTACTGTTTCTTTATTCATTAATTCATTAAAGTCTATATTTATTCATATGCTTATTTATTTATGGCATAACTCACTTTTTTCTCAACTTTGTAGCTACTAGTGGTAATTAAAAAGGCAAATACAACTTAATTATCATTTTGAAATAGTTGGACCTGTCTTTTCAGTCATGTTGATATTAAAATTTAAACAACAACAACAACAACAACTTTATTCTTGTATCCTGCCACCATCTCCCTGAAGGGACTCAGGGCAGCTTATACACGGAACAAAGTGCCAAAACCAGAACATGAAATAAAACACAATTTAAAATATAGTTGAATAAAACATATAAGCATATTAAACAACAACTTAAAATTCAATTAAAACAGCAATGCTGGTAAGCTACTGTAAACGTGGCCAAGCTGTAAACAATCAGACAGGGAATGGGATAAGTGCAAAGCTGTATCCATGGGACGAGGGCATGGGTTAAAGTGCAAGGTTGCATAACAATTGGATAAATGAGCTAGGGACTAGGTGTTCTCAAAAGCTTGTTTGAACTGCCAGGTCTTCAGGTCCCTATGGAAGGAGGACAGTGTGGGGGCTTGCCTAATCTCTCTGGGGAGGGCATTCCAAAGCCGAGGGGCCACCACTGAGAAGACTCTCTCTGTCGTTCCCACAAACCATGCTTGTGATGGTGGAACTGAGAGGAGGGCTTCCCTGGCAGATCTTAGAGTCCACGCTAGTTCATTTGGGGGGTGGGGGGTGGTCATGAAGCTAGGCATGAACAAAATATATAAATGAGTTCCAAATTAAAACATTTAAAACAGCTTTTTAAAAAGAAAAAAAATCATTGTGTGAGTTACATTTACCTAATTAGAAATTATTAATTTCAAATGTTCATATTTTTACATGTGGTTCTGTGAGCCCTAAGTTATTTGCCTCTATGATATATATTTTAAAATATTTTCTCTCATGAGAAATTGAGAAGTGTGACCATATAGAAACAATTGTGCTTTCCATTTTCCCACACAAAGGAAGAAAACCTTTCCAGAAAGACTGGGATAAAAGCCGGTTTCCGGTTTCCGGTATGGCGGTCGGCAGCAAAAAGTAAGGCTGCTCCGACCTAAAAACTAAATCCAGAGCAATCCAAGGCAACTCCCCCCTGGACAACCCTTAAATTGAAGAGGGAGAGACCCAGAACCATCGAGGGTCCTGTAGAGGGGTTTGGAGAGTAGAGGAATCCAGGAAAACCCAGGAGAAGGAGTAAGTGAGTCGGGAAGGTGGAGGAAGGTGGAGGAAGTCGAGGGAGGACGCCATTGCTGGCTCCCTCTCCAATAAGACCTTCAGCCTCACCCGGGGAGTGGTTGGAAAGTGGCTGCCCTCGGAACATCACGAAGGGGCGAGCCTGTCCGCCGCTTGTGCCGCCGTGCCGCCGCCGCTGAGACCGCTGCGAGCGGCTGCCGGACTGCGCCGCGGTAGCAGCGGGCGCCATCTTGCCATCTTGCCTCTACCATCGAGTCCTGCTGCTGCGGGAAAGAGGCGGCCGAAGGGAAGGCAGCCGGGAGGCAAGGAGGAGGTGAGCTGCTTGTGCCGCTGTGCCGCCGTGGGTGAGACCGCTGCGAGCTGCTGTCGGACTGCCGCTATACGCGCCGCGGTAGCAGCGGGCGCCATCTTGTCTCTACCATCGAGTCCTGCTGCTGCGGGAAAGGGCGGCCGGAGGGAAGGCAGCCGGGAGGCAAGGAGGAGGTGAGCTGCCGCAACTGCGGCCGTTCCCTAACAAAGAGGACCATCACTGCCGCCAAGAGCTACCCTGGTCCCTCGGCGGAGTGTTGGGACACCCTCTCCGCTGGGAGCGGCAAGGAACGGCGAGCCGCCAGGGCCAAGAAGCCGCGGCTGGAAACATCTTCCCGCGCCGGGGAATAGGCCAGGCTGCGGCTCTCAGCCGTAACTCCACCTCGTGAGTGACTTCAAGAACTGTGCTGCCCGGACCTGCCACGTAGGCTGCAGTGCTGCAATACGGGGAGTGTCATCCGGCTGAGCCTTCCATTAGACCTTTCCAGCAGGGCCTCTCCATCTGGCCTGCATAAGGCTAGGCCGCTACCATCAAGGCCCCACGAGTGAGTCATTACATTACATCGCAAGAACTATTGGAGCGGGGCCCGGGGGCCACTTGAACCGGTCCCTAGCCATCTAGCCTCCCACCATCTTTTACCATCTGGGCGTCCATTAACGGGGCAAGCAATGTGTAGTTCTCTTTGTGCTGACCTCTGTGTTGACCGACATTGTGTAGCCCTTTTCCTGTGCTTCTCTCTCTGTGTTGTTCGATATTGTGACTGTCCAACTGTGCTGACCACTACCGTGTTGACCATCTCCGGAAGGTTGTAGACGCATCCGCCTTTCTACATCAACCGTCCAGAGATTACTTCTGGAATCATCATAATAATCTATCTAATTGTTATCCCTGACATCTTTTAATAGTGTATTTACATATCACCAATATTGTACGTTCCTTGGTTGTCCTTTGCTGCTATCTGGTATAAGAACGCAATATAGCACCTTAAGGCATCTGCCAATTGCTGCTAAACTGCACTAACACTTATGCCCCTTCCCTATCCCTCTATGCCGCACTTTAGTGAGCATTGAGAACTAGATTGGGTATTATTGCATTTTAGATCTCTGCACTTTATGAGTTTACCCAACGTCACACAGTGGTGTTGTTGACCGAGTTGTGCTGTTGACCGTGCTGCACTTTAACACTTTTGCACTTTATGAACTATCTAACTGTCGTGGCTGAAACGCTGACCACCATCTGAATCTTCTATTATCCATGTGGCTCCCCACCCCCTTATTGGTACTGACCCTGCTAGTAGTAGCTAGTGGAGGAGGCAGGGGAGGAAGTGGGCTGGAGCCTGGGAATGATAATGAGGCGGGGTGGGGGGAGGAGGGGAAGCAGGGGAATTGGCTAGGGCCTACAAATCAAACAACTAATGCACCAAAAACTAAGACCTTGGTTTCGGAATGCGGCATGGAGGGGGGGAGGTGTTCCACTAGCCGAGGGGCCCCCATAGAGGTCGTGGTGGGAAGGAGGAGATGCGGAAAAAGGAGACATCGAATTCGACCTAATTCGGACCACTTATCTACATTAATAACCCCAAATCGGTCTCCTAAGGTAAATTGGTGTAGCCAGGTGAGCGGGCCCTCTGGATTGAAGGTGGTGCTGCTGAACGCCAGATCTGTCAACGGAAAAACGACCTTCATCCAGGATTTAATCCTGGATGAGCGGGCAGATCTGGCGTGCATTACGGAGACCTGGTTGGATGAAGCTGGGGGTGTGAATCTCACCCAGCTTTGTCCTCCAGGTTTCTCCGTACAGCACCAACCGAGATCCGGAGGGCGGGGAGGCGGGGTTGCAGTGGTCTATAGAGATTCCATCCATCTGACCAGGAGCCCCATCCCGCAGACCACAAATTTTGAATGTGTCCACCTAAGGGTGGGTGACCGGGACAGAATAGGGATTCTGCTAGTGTACCGTCCACCTCGCTGCACTACAGTCTCCCTACCTGAGCTAGCGGGGGTAGTCTCGAGCCTGGCGTTGGAGTCTCAACGGCTCTTGGTGCTGGGAGACTTCAATATCCATGCCGAGGCGACCCTTACGGGAGCGGCTCAGGACTTCATGTCGGCCATGGCAACCATGGGGCTGTCCCAACAAATATCTGGCCCCACCCATTGTGCTGGACACACATTGGACTTGGTTTTCTGCCAGGGATGGGAGCAGGGTGGCGGTGTGGAGGAGTTGTCTATCTCTCCGTTGCCATGGACTGACCACTTCCTGATCAGATTTAGGCTCACTGCACCCCCTAACCTCCGCAAAGGTGGAGGACCCATTAAGATGGTCCGCCCCAGGAGGCTTATGGATCCGAATGGATTCCTGACGGCTCTTGGGGATTTTCCCGCCTCCTCGGTAGGTGACCATGTCGAGGCCTTGGTCGCTCTCTGGAATGGGGAGATGGCCAGGGCAATTGACGTGATCGCTCCGGAACGTCCCCTCTCAAGTAGCTGAGCTAAACCAGCTCCTTGGTTTACTGAGGAGCTGGCAGTGATGAAGCGAAGGAAGAGGGAACTAGAGAGCGTGTGGCGTTTGGACCCAAGCGAGCCAAATCGAGCACGGTTTGTGTCCTTTTAAGGGCATATGCCGCGGCAATAAAAGCCGCAAAGAAAACTTTCTTTGCGGCCACTATTGCGTCTGCAAAAACCGTCCGGCGGAGTTGTTCCGGATTGTCAGAGGTCTTTTAACTCCCGCCACCTCAGGCGGGAGCACTGACAACTCGGGCACGCGCTGTGAAGCATTTGCTCGGTTTTTCGCAGACAAAGTCGCTTTGATCCGTTCTGGGCTGGACACCATGTTAAATGCAGTCTCTGAGGATGTGACACGAGCACCTGCTTGTCCTATTTTGATGGATTCTTTTCAGTTTGTGAAGCCCGAGGATGTGGACAAGATACTTGGAGGAATGAGGCCCACCACGTCCATCCTAGACCCCTGCCCATCCTGGCTTCTGAAGGAGGCCAGAGGGGGATTGGCTGAGTGGGTAACGGTGGTGGTTAATGCCTCCCTTCGGGAAGGCAAGATTCCAGCGAGCTTAAAACAGGCTATTATAAAACCGCTGTTGAAGAAACCATCACTGGACCCCACTAAATTTGACAACTTTCGGCCTGTTTCCAATCTCCCCTTTTTGGGCAAAGTCATGGAAAGCGTGGTGGCCTCACAACTCCAGGTATTCTTGAGAGACACGGATTATCTGGATCCGGCACAGTCTGGTTTCAGGCCGGGACATGGTACCGAGACGGTCTTGGTCGCCTTAGTGGATGATCTGTGCCGGGAGCTAGACAGGGGGAGTGTGTCCCTGTTGGTGCTCCTGGACCTCTCAGCGGCCTTCGATACCGTCGACCACGGTATCCTTCTGGGGCGCCTTGCGGAAATGGGTCTTGGGGGCACTGCTCTGCAGTGGCTCCAGTCATTTCTGGAGGGTCGTACCCAGAAGGTGTTATTGGGGGACTCCTGTTCAACACCACAGCCTTTGACCTGTGGGGTTCCACAGGGTTCTATACTGTCCCCCATGCTGTTTAATATCTACATGAAGCCGCTGGGTGAGATCATCCGGAGTTTCGGGGTGCGGTGTCATCTGTACGCAGATGATGTCCAACTCTGTCACTCCTTCCCACCTGCTACTAAGGAGGCTGTCGAGGTCCTGAACCGGTGCCTGGCCGCTGTAATGGTCTGGATGAGGGCGAACAAACTGAAATTAAATCCAGACAAGACAGAGGTACTCCTGGTCAGTCGCAAGGCCGAACAGGGTATAGGGTTACAGCCTGTGCTGGACGGGGTCGCACTCCCCTTGAAGGCACAGGTTCGCAGCTTGGGTGTAACCCTGGATTCATCATTGAGCCTGGATCCCCAGGTTTCAGCGGTGACCAGGGGAGCATTCGCACAGCTTAGGCTCGTGCGCCAGCTGCGCCCGTACCTTGGGAAGTCTGACTTGGCCACGGTGGTACACGCTCTGGTCACATCCCGCCTTGACTACTGCAACGCTCTCTACGTGGGGCTACCCTTGAAGACGGCCCGGAAGCTTCAGCTAGTCCAGCGCGCGGCAGCCATGGTACTAACCGGAGCGGGACGCAGGGAGCACACAACGCCCTTGCTGTCCCAGCTCCACTGGCTGCCGATCTGCTACCGGGCCCAATTTAAGGTGCTGGTGTTATCCTACAAAGCCCTAAACGGTTCCGGCCCAAAATACCTTTCGGACCGCATCTCGGCCTATGAGCCCACGAGGGCCTTGAGATCATCTGGGGAGGCCCTTCTCTCGATCCCGCCTGCTTCACAGGCACGCCTGGCGGGGACGAGAGAGAGGGCCTTCTCGGTGGTGGCCCCCCGGCTGTGGAACGACCTCCCTGTTGATATTAGACAGGCGCCCTCCCTTCTATCCTTCCGCAGGAGCCTAAAGACCTGGCTATTTGAAAAGGCCTTCAATTGAATACTACGGCAATTGGTAATGGACACTTGGAACGGAATATGGACTATGACATTGGATATGATTCTATAATATGACGGAGCGGATTATTAGTGTAACTTATAGTATTGTTTATGATTGTGCTGTGATTTTGCTTGTTCTGCTTTTGTAAACTGTGTTTTATATGTTGTACACCGCCGCGAGTCGCCCTAGGGCTGAGAGCGGCGGTCAATAAATGCACCAAATAAATAAATAAATAAATAAATAAAACTGGGATACAAGCCATACTGATGTTAAAATATATAAATAATAAATAAAATAAAACTTTATTTGTGTACTACCCTATCTCCCCAAAGAGACTCAGGGAGGTTTCCAACACATAAGGCTAACATTCAATTGCTGGAAAGAAAACCATACAGACAATTACATCAAAATAAACACAGTCGACAATATAGCACAACCTAATTTAACATAATAAACAAAATAACAACTAAAAGCATAAAATACCAAAAGCCTGTTAAAACACATTAAAAATAAAAAAATAAAGAAAATAAAGAAACCATTTCATTGTAGCTCCAAGAGATATAAGATGAGAAAGTTATCTTACTACTTTCTATTTATACAAACTGAAAGTTTTGATGTTTTTCCCCATATTTAGGACAAAAAAACCCCCACTTGTTGATGTGCCTCTTCCTCTCTCCTGTTGAAACAGTTATTGGGGAGACTTGACATTTTAGTTTTCGAAGTACAGTTGTTGTTTAGCTTCTCCTTCACAAGTATCTGCTTTTGCCTCAGCATTCTCAGCATTCTAAGTCTGATCAAATCAGGTTGTGTAAGCTTAGTCACGTTGGAGGTAATTTGGACCAGAAAGTGTGGTAATTATGTTGTTGGGTCTATAATGGAGATAGTACATCAACTCCACTGCTGATGAGGTTGGGGAAGTCGTTTAACTGGACCAAATCATTGAGAAGACAATGGCAGGTGACATCATAGGTAATTGTGAGGCTGCAATGGAGCTGAAATTGGCAAAAGCATGATGCAAGGGGCTATAATTTATCGTACAGCTCCCATCTATTAAAGAGACATTTCAAGAAGTTCTCAGTTGGTTTTAGCTCCAAATAAGTCTCCCATGGGATCCAAATCGTTGTTTCAGACGCATCTGAGGAATCACCTGCCACTGTGGGGATCAGTTCCAAAGGCAGTTTGTCATTTGACATGGGGCAGGCGGCTTTCTGAGAATGTTAAAGATGTCCTGAGCAGGCAGTGCCAGATTTGTAGGGTTTTTAGGTATACATTCTAATCCCCCAAATTACCCTGAAGACCATTTTTAGTTCATTAATTTCCAAATGGGTGTGCTTGGGATTTCCTAATGTGTATCAAAAAGTATCACATAATTTGAGTGCACATTTTGTTCTAAATGTATTATTTTGTTCTGTACTATCATTTCAAATGGGTATGAATATTCCTTAAAGATGTTGCATCTTCCATTCTGGAGTTCTGTTTATGACCTCACAAAGTACATGAGGTCACAGAAAGCATTCCATTTTCTTTCAGTTGCGCTTTTGTATTGCTGTCTCCAGTGTTGCTTACATGGAAATATACTCAATATGTTTAGAAACCAAGGCAAGACGTTTGAAACTACGGTTGAATTGCCTGAAGAACGGCGATTAATCGATAAGCTTTCTTTGGAAGCCTTCAATGCTCCTTCTGATGTTGATGTGAAATATTATGTCTTTGGATACAAGTAAGACTTCCAACACTAGTTAATATACCTCCTTTTCCATTGAATCTGTTCCATGAAACTTTGATAGCACTTTCTCCCCAAAATATGGTTGATGCAGTATAGTGAGACGGAAGATTTTGAACATGTTTTCTAGAATTAAATGATGCAGTTAGGTGTCGTTCTGGCATTCCTTCTAAATAATTTGGTACTGGCTGTAGCAGAAGGAGATGGTCCTGTATTTATACAATAGCATTATTTAGTTGGATTTGTGTGATATTTGTATTTTTTTGTATATCAATTTATATCTCAGGATTTGGGGAAAATTGGATGACAATGGCTATGATTGGCATCCTTATTTGCAATTATGGATTTTTAACCTAGAGTTACAAATTCATAACTAGTTCATATTCACTAACACAATGTAATCACAGTTTTGACACTATTGCCATTATCATAAATGCCCCCTTCCAAACCTACTGTAGCTAACATCCATACCCAACAATGCAGTTGATGATTGGGGTGCAGGATCCTTAGAGTGGGGGTGTAACAACCTGGAAAAGGACCCCTGTAGTAATTTGTCATTGCAATTTTGCTCACTGTCACGAGGGGGCTGGAAGCTTCTTCCTCCTTCACCCTGATTGCCAGTCAAACAGACTTTTGTTGTTTTACTGCTAGCTATTACTTAATTGCACACACCATAATAATAATAATAATAATAATAATAATAATAATAATAATAATAATAATAATGTGAATCCTCCCTATCTGCAGGCTCCAGATACATGGAGTCAACCAACTGCAGATTCAAAAATACACAACACAATACACAATACAAGTAGCATACTATGTACTTTTTTGGGAGGTTGAAGAGAAATGCGAGGGTGGAAGGAAAATCTGTAAAATGATGGGAAGTGTGATTCACAATATTCACAATATCTCTAGCTTCACATCTCTCTCCAGCAACTACACTACTTGTGTATAATGTAGAACAGGCAGGGGCAAACTTCTGCCCTCCAGGTATTTTGGACTTCAACTTCTATAATTCCTAACAGCCTACTGGCTGTTAGGAATTATGGAAGTTGAAGTCCAAAACACCTGGAGGGCAGAAGTTTGCCCATGACTGATGTAGAAAGACTGTGAAATGGTGGGAATCCAAACAATGGTGGGAATCCAAACATAATCCTCGGCACAAATCTACGCCACTCACTATTTAACAGATCTTGAGTTTCTCTTCAGTCTTGTGTCACTCCAGCCTCACATCTCTCTCCAACCCTGCAAACAGAGGATGCAATATGCCATTTTATGTAAATGTGACTTGATCATACATAGATTTTGGTATTCACACAGATTCATGAGACCAATCCCCCACAGGTACTAAGGGCTCACTGTAATCACAATGTAGGTGAACTTCACACTTAAGCTCTTCGATATTTTTCTTTGGATCAGTGATGTGGGTGCATATATGCTGAAGGCACAATAAATTAAAATAAATGTCTCCCTTTCCTCCTTTATATATTCTCTGCCTTTCCCAAAAGCTGGTATTCATGGAGCCATACAAATTTAGGGAGGTTAAGACAGAACTAAAGAATTAATAACATTAAAATAACATTAAAAATACTTTTAAACATACAACTAAAAAATAATAATAATAGTTTTAGAACAACATAATTAGAACAATATCACACTCTGTTAGAAGCCCTGTCTTTAGAGACATTCAGTCGTCAATAATCAGCCAGAATAAAAACCCTTCCCTGCCAATGGAAGGATAGTATGGAGGAGTGTATTTGACCCTCTCTAGAATGGGAGTTTCAGGACCTCCACTACTGAGTCTGGGGACAGCCATCAAAAACCAAAGTTATGATCTTACAAGCTGCAGTTATACTGTCAGCTTTGATAAAAAGTCATAGAGGTTTATATCTGGTGTGAGAAAAGAAACTTTCACAATATTGTGCCCATCCCTCCTAAAATATTGCCTTGCACATGGCTCTTGTTGGAAGAAGTTGGGGTCTTAGGACCTCATTAGATGCATCCTATGATTGAGGGAAAGAGGGGAAAAAGTGGGGAAAGCGAAGGGAACTGTCTTACTCCATTCCCTCCCATTGAGGTCCGTCTTCTGCCATCCCATGTCTTTTCCCCGTTGAGGTCCATCTTTCATCTCTTTCTCCCATTTGGAGTTAGGAAACACACAACTCCTCAAAAGACGTTCCGGGCTCCATTTCTCTGCGCTGCAGAAATGGAGTCCCACAAAGTCCCTCCAAAAGTGGCCTTGCGTTATGTGATGGCCTCCGCCAGAAAACAGAGAGAAGATGCAGAAAAGACTGCATCTGATGAAGTTCATAAGGGGGGGGGGGGAGCCTGAGGTCAGCCAACTTTAGCATGATTTAGCTATCCCAGCAAACTCGACTAAATGCCTAAGTCTCTTTCATGTAGTTTCCTTGCAACCGCTTTGTGCAAGGAACACATTTATATTCCATTGCATATTCAACTACATATATTGGCATTTCCCTGTTTTACAGTGTCAACTTTGTCATTCTTTTTCCTTCCAGGAGAAGAGACACTGGTCTGTATAAATTCATCGAAACAATATTCTACCACCCACTGTTCAAATCAATTATGATCAGCACCATCACACTAAATGCAATCTTTTTGGCTCTAGAAACAGATTATAAAGTTTCCAAGGAGTCCAATTTCTTCCTGGAGGTAAAAAAAAAAAATAACTGCACACAACGTAGACTATCGGGGCTGCCTTGATTTCTCTCTCTTTTTGTTCTGAAGACAATTTCTCTTTCCCAGCAGGACAGGATAATATTTCGAGAAGGGTAGTTTAGAGTAAGAGAACTTTTGTGCCCAAGTAAAAATGGTCTCAAGTAAAAATGTAGGTAGTCATTTATTTTATATTGTTGTAAACCAGTGGGACAAGATAAATGGAACCCTTGAACTAAATGTACCACACATTATATTAGAGATTAGGGGCAGGCCTGCTATCAATAGAGATTCACTGGGATACAGTGATTTGATCCTTGAACTAAAACTCGGGGAGACCCACCTGTCTGGGGAATCCCACTGGGGTTTTTAAAATCATATCAGAATTGAACTAAGAATATACTGCAAGCCGCTTCTGGTGTGAGAGAATTGGCCATCTGCAAGGACGTTGCCCAGGGGATGCCCAGATGTGTTACCATCCTGTGGGAGGCTTCTGTCATGTCCTCACATGGGAAGCTGGGGCTGACAGATGAGAGCTTACCCAATCTTGTGGATTCGAACCGCTGACCTTCAGGTCTTCAGGTCAGCAATTCAGCTAGCACAAGGGTTTAACTCATTGTGCCAGCACAACCCCTATCTACCTATCACTGGGTGACCTTGGGCAAGTCTCTCTAAGCCTCATTTGATTTTAACCTAATGTTTTATTCATTGTGTAATTGCCTTGTTATATTTGTTTTGTATGTTGCGCATCAAATTGTTGCTGGTTGTAAGCTGCTCTGGGTCCCCCTCGGGGGTTGAGAACAATGGGGTACAAGTGTTTGAAACAAACAAACAAATAAGCCTCAGAGGAAGGCAATGCCAAATTCCTTCTGAATAATGCTGGCAGGTTGATGAGGCTCAGTACTGGCAGGTCAATATTATCCATGCCATCACTTTACCTGGCACAAACGGGTACCTGCTTTTGCAGTTGTTTCCTGCCCCTTTATCCTACCTAATCTGCCCTGTGTCCCTTGGTCATATTTTATTTTTTATTAACCATCCTAACTAATCCCATATGTTTGACAAAGCCAGCAGGAGACTATGCTGTACATTTATTATGATGGAGACTGATTTGATAAGGATGTCTGCACACCACTACTTGGTATTGTTAATGCCTTGTCACTTCCCGATCCATTGTTTCCTTTTGAAGTGGGTTTGATACATTTTCTGGCTTTGAAAAGGAAGTGGTCAGATTGTTAATGACCTCTCATGAGTTAGTCTCCCTCTTGAAAAGCACTTCGCTTTCACAAACCCTCATGTCTTTACTTACTTGAAACTGGCTACTGTACACAATTGGTGGGAATTTAACTTCATATCCCAGTGGCACGCAAGCCAACAGAGAAGTCTGGAAAATATCAAGGAGTCAACTTATTGCTTTATAAAAGCTTTTAAATTTTTTGTTAATGTCATTTTTTTGTGGGAAGCTCAAGTTTGCAAGCTGTATATGTACCTTGGGTATTGAGGAAATGTGTGTTTGGCACTATAATTTCCACACATGTTCTGTATTTCAGAAAGAAACATGCCAATTAGGTCCAATCGAAAATAATTACCTTAATACCAAAATAACTGTAACTTTGCTATTATACCCTCCTGTATGGCTGATTATGCTGTCTATTATCTGTTATCACACTCCACATGAAAGGAACAATGACTCCTGTGCAGCAATACAACATTAAAACACGACCCAAAAAGTAGAATCATAGAGTTGGAAGAGACCTCATGGGCCAACCAGTCCAACCCCCTGCCAAGAAGCAGGAAAATTGCATTCAAAGCACCCCCAACAATGGCAATCCAGCCTCTGTTTAAAAGCTTCCAAAGAAAGAGCCTCCACCACACTCCGGGGCAGAGAGTTCCACTGCTGAACGGCTCTCACAGTCAGGAAGTTTTTCCTAATGTTCAGATGGAATCTCCTTTCTTGTAATTTGAAGCCATTGTTCCACGTCCTAGTCTCCAAGGAACCAGAAAACAAGCTTGCTCCCTCCTCCCTATGACTTCCTCTCACGTATTTATACACAAGCCATCCCCTGCCATGCGTTGCTGTGGCCCAGTCCAGTGATCTGGAAAATAAAGTAATGAGAAAGTGTTGGTTTCTAATATATATAATGTCTTTATGCTTGTGAGTAAACAGTATTTGATTACATTTTCTTGCCCTGGTGAAGGGAATTGGATGGCCTTAAGTATTTTCTATTGGTCATAGCGGTTCTGTGTGGGAAGTTTGCCCCAATTGTATCGTTGATAGGGTTCAGAATGCTCTTTGATTGTAGGTGAACCATAAATCCCGGTAACTACAACTCCCAAATGTCAAGGTCTTTTTCTCCCAAGCTCCATCTGTGTTCCTAGTTCCCAGTGGCGCAGTGGATTAAACCGCTGAGCTGGTAACCTTGCTGACCAAAAGATCAGTGGTTCAAATCTGGGGAGTGGGGTGAGCTCCCGCTCTTAGCCCCAGCTTCTGCCAACCTAGTAGTTCGAAAACATGTGAATGTGAGTAAATCAATAGCTACCGCTCTGGCGGGAAGATAACAGCGCTCCATGCAGTCATGCTGGCCGCGTGACCTTAGAGGTGTCTATGGACAATGCTAGCTTTTTGGCTTAGAAATGGAGATGAGCACCAATTCCCAGAGTCAGATATGACTGGACTTAATGTCAGGGGAAAACCTTTACCTTTACCAATCCATCATCCGCTGAGAGTCACCATGATTTAGCAGTTTAAGTGCTGGAAGGGGAGTCTGGGAGAATGAAATCCTAGTTTGGGCATGGAGTGAGATTAAGTCACACATGTTCAGCTTCAGAAGCAAATATTTCTAAAAAAAACAAACCCTATGATAGCTTTGCCTTGGGGATAAAATAATTTGGAAATTATACAAAGGCTCACAGCAACAGCGGCATCCAGCTGTTGATAGATGATAGTGAAAATCATTATTTGAACAAGTCTGTCTGTGAAAATCTAGACTTGTGACCAGGGAAGCATATCTTATCATCTCCAGGACTACAACTATCATGATCCTTAACTATTTCTCTGTTGGCTGGGCCTTGTGGCAGATGCAGACACAGAATGTATATTCTGGACGCCAGGTTGCCAGTATTGCTGTAGACTTAGCACTCTTTTCTTCCCTAATTTTCATAAACGGTTGACTCTGCATTGTTAATATTGCTCATTATAGTACATAGAGGCAGTCACAGATGGATTGTATTAAGAATAACAAAAATATACAAAAGTATACAGTTGGTATCAATTAAACATAAATCAATAGAGTTAAGTCAATATGGCCCTGGATTTTTACAGTCACGACTATAAATTGTGAAAAGCAACCCTGGTTTTAGAGATGTGGGTAGAAATAGTGAAAAGAGGCATATGTGTTCACCTCTTTAGAGAGAGGAAAGGCTATGGACAGAGGGGCAGCCAGGGATTGTGGGAAAGTGAAACTGCAAGGGTCCTGCAGATTAGCGGGAGGGGGGAGGAGAGGATATATTGGGGTCAAGTGAACAGATATAACTGGTTGTGAGTAGCCTCAAATGTACCCCAAAGAATATACTTTGGGGTGATTGGTGGCAATATGTCAATTTCCCTGAAAGGCGGTTTTCATGTTGAAAACATGTTTCACACATCCCGTAATATGAATTCTGTCGATTTTGCCATCATGCATTCTGCATTGTTATTGTTCATTCGTTCAGTCGTTTCCGACTCTTTGTGACCTCATGGACCAGCCCACGCCAGAGCTCCCTGTTGGCTGTCACCCCAGCTCCTTCAAGGTCAAGTCAGTCATTTCAAGGATGCCATCCATCTTGCCCTTGGTCGGCCCCTCTTCCTTTTTCCTTCCATTTCCCCCAGCATAATTGTGTTCTCTAAGCTTTCCTGTCTTCTCATGATGTGGCCAAAGTACTTCATCTTGGCCTCTAATATCCTTCCCTCCAATGAACAGTTGGGCTGGACTGCATAGTAAATTCAAAAGCTCAAATATGTTAAAAATCAAAAGTCTCAAGGATTCTATGCATGCATACAGAAAGGGAGATATTAACAGAGGAAGCTACAGTCCTGCCAGCTGGTTAAAAGGAAACAAAATGTAACAAGCAACAGACTCTGTGCAGCAGCAAAACAAAGCCAACTCATTGTCGAAGGCTTTCATGGCTGAAATCACTTGGTTGTTGTAGGTTTTTCGGGCTGTATGGCCATGTTCCAAAAACATTCTCTCCTGACGGTTCACCTGCATCTATGGCAGGCATCCTCAGAGGTTATAAGACCTCACAACCTCTGAGGATGCCTGCCATAGATGCAGGCAAAACATCAGGAGAGAATACTTCTGGAACATGGCCATACAGCCCGAAAAACCTACAACAACCCAAAACCAACATAGAGAGTTCATAAATATCTAACATACAAGGAGCAAAAGAAACCTCAGGCAGAAATCCAGAGTCAAAGTGTTTAGCCTCTGGAACAAAACTGGAAGAGAAACCCTGAAATCCACGTGTGAGTGGGTGATGGAAATGTAAACAACCTGCTTGTAAGTTCTTATATAAGCTATATAAGTCACTGTTCAAGCCAGTTTGGTCATAAGCAGTTTGGTCATGGCTGTAGAATTAATGCAGCTTGACACCACTTCAGCTGTCATGGCTCCGTAGGGTGGAATTCTGAGATTTGTATGGTGAGGCACCAGCAAACTGGCAGACAAGACAAAATACCCTTTAAAACTACAACTCCCATGATTTGATAACATTCAGCCATGACAATTGAAATGGTGTCAAAGCTGCATTAATTCTACAGTGTATACATGTCATGCCTGAGGAGGCTGCTTTCTGATTGCCACTCAAATTCGAGGGAATATTTTACTTACCTTAAAATGCCAGTCTGACAGATTAAGGTTTATGCTCTGTAAACAATAGCTGTACTGAATTAATAAAATGAAATATATGTAAATGCATTACAATGCTGAACTAAGTATTTGTTGCGTATGAAGCAATGTAATGTAGTACATCTGGAAATGCAATCACAATCTACAATGTATGTAAATGTTTGTATGAGGTATGCCACTTTCCTCCATTGTTGACATGCAAGTTGTGATGTCTTAAGATTATGTAAAGCTGATATCCCTTACCACTGAAGCATACTAACAAGTACTATGTTCAGTATACTACTAATCCATGTGCCTTGTAAGTGTGAGATGTATCCCTTCCAAGTGATAATATTCATTGTGTGCCAAGAAGATGAAAGGTCTAAGGGCCCTTCCACACAGCTCTATAATTCGAAATATCAAGGAAGAAAATCCCACAATATTATTATATTATATTATAACTTTATTTGTACCCCGCTAGCATCTCCCGAAGGACTCGATGCGGCTTACATAGGCCAAGGCCTCAAAACACCATACAACAATACAATACCTAAAGCAAATTAAAAACAGTTAAGCAGTATAACAACAAACATAAACAATACATCAAGACACTATAAAACTGGGCCGGGCCAGAGTAATGGGTACAAGGTTAAAAGTGCTGATGTGGCAGGAGGTATGTAGGATTATAAGTAAGTGCAGTGTGCAGAGTGCAGCAATCTTAGTTCTACTAAAGTGCTTCTAGGACTTGGTATTGGAGATTCCTAATCTGAGAAGGCACATCGGAACAGCCAGGTCTTCAAGTTCTTTCTGAAGACTGTCAATGTAGGGGCCTGTCTAAGATCTTTTGGGAGGGCGTTCCAGAGTCGGGGGGCACCACAGAAAAGGCCCTGTCTCATGTCCCCACCAAACGCGCTTGTGACACAGGTGGGATCACGAGCAGGGCCTCTCCAGATGACCGAAGTGAACGCGTGGGTTCGTAGACGGAGATGCGGTCACGCAGGTAGGGTGGTCCCAAACCGTTCAGGGCTTTTAACAATATCTACTTTAAACTGGGTTATCTGAATTAACAATATCTACTTTAAACTGGGTTATCTGAGTCCGCACTGCTATATATTCCAGTTCAAAGTAAATAATTTGGGATTTTATTCAACTGTGTGGAAGGGCCCTAAGAAAGCAATATGCCATAGATTCATGATAAGAGATACATTCTGAGATATCCCTGGAAGAATAGTACCAAAACTGGGAATGATTGTGATATGTGTTGATCTTGTGGCAAGGTGTATATGCTATTGGTTTGCTTATGCAAAAGATTACAATCCACATAGTCATGTACATTCTTCTGTCATACACATTTTCTGAAATACCAAAGTTTAAGAGATTCTTAAGGGGGATATTAATGTAGTTTGATCTTTTGGACAATACTGATGTTTACAACCATGGGAACTTAGGTGACTGAAATGGTAAACATTAAGGAACTCTAGTTTGGTACAGATTGACAAGCATTGGGTAAGGAACCTTCAGTCACTCCACCAAGAAATTGCTTCACCTCAGCTTTCCATAAATTTCCATAAATTGACATTCCAAGGTACTTTACTGACTTAGAGAAGTTTGAAACCTAATCAGACAGAGTATTTAACATCTCAGAAGATGAATAATTAAATGAAGGAGATCCTGACCGCCTTCATGGAAGGTTAGGCTGTTATATACTTGAGTCCCTTAAAGCCAATTCTACTTGAGTCCCTTAAAGCCAGATGGTTGTTTTTTTGTCTTCTTTCTATTGATGGAACATGATTGCTTCATATCATGTAGAAATTCTTTGAATTTTCAGTCACCAGCATTCTTCATAGTAATTGCAGATCATTGGCTGGGGAATCTGTCAAATTTCAGCCTCCATTCAACACTACCCTACTTTTCAATTTTCAATGGAAGTCACTAGATATTGGGTTATTTGTCTTAATTCTTACAAAAGAATGTAACACAGCTAGTTATGGGCTCACTCATGCTTCCAGAAGTTCTTTATATCTCAGCTGGTGCTCTAGTCATTTTCTTTAGCAGCGACTGAACGTTATTTTGTAAATAAGTTCCTTGTGATGTTCTTACTCCCTTCACAGGTATCTTGTTTCCTTTTCAGGTGGCAGATCTGATTATTTTAGCTATCTACACCACAGAATTCCTGATGAGTGTTTATCTGGAGCCCGTTAAGTATTGGGGGGATGGTTATAAACGATTTGATTTCATTGTCCTTCTAATTGCTTACCTCCCGTACACCATTGATAGAAGCAACCCCAGTACGCACCAGACTTCAACCTTGTTGAAAGGCTTCCAGGTACTACGAGTTCTCAAACTTATCTACTACAGCCCAGGAATGAGGGTAAGTGGATGCTGCGTTGTTAGCAACAACATACTGTATTTGTCACAGTTTTACTATTCTTCTTCTGAATTAACATTGTTATCCTGATTCTCCACTGCTTCTCCATTCCAATTTATTTTATTTGAGAAAGGATACTGCTGTGCAGAAACATCCTGGGTTGTAGCACTTCAAGTTGTAAGTGGGGATTTCAAGTTTGAATACTTTCCTATGTTAACTTCCCCTGCATCACTGGTTGCAGATGTATAGTGTAATCTAGTCTTACATGGCAATTTCCAATTACGGTATTTCTTTTTCTTGTTCATGTGAGAATGTATGTGCACTTTTTGTGCATTAGAACTGCCCTCTGGTTTCATGTTTAGGGTGGAAAAATAAATTCTACTCTAACAGTTCTATCTGCTTCCATTCAGAACTAAGTCCCATTGAGTTGAACTTTACTCTTAAACAAGCAAATACTGAATTGCAGTCACAGAATATTGAGGAATTGGGGAGTTCATAAAGTAATTTTATGGGAGTTGTAATCCAGAAACAATCCAGTGGCCAACTGGCTGTAGGATTCTATAATTTGCAACCCCCACACCCCAACTCTGCTACTAATATATTTATTCTCTGCTCGGTTTGCTGTGCTCACTGCTGACATCTCTTGTCAGGACCAGGTAATATTCCTAGTTGATCATTAGAGTATATGTCTACATAGAAATGAAATAGTTGCAGATTATCAGTTTCACAACGGAAACTTTGCCATATACATTGTGAAATAATTTTAGCAGCATGAGAGGGAATTCTGGTCTGCTCTTTTTAATTTATTGTTTTTGACATACCTACCTGAAATGTGGCCTTTTCAGTTAATACCATTTAATTTGGTGTGCTCTCTTCTATTTTCTGAATCTTGCTTTCACTTAGGATGCATCTACATTATAGAATGTAGATATGTTTGAGCTTTAAACTATGAACCCCTTCTTGGTACAAGGCAACATAGTTAATAATCATAATATGTTTGATGCCATATGATATTGGTAGTAGTGGTGGTGGGAATTATGATGATGATGACAATGAAGATGTTAAAGATTTTATTGCTTGTACCCGATATTAAAAACCACATGTCCCTAAATTAGTATCCCACTATTTCTCCAAATAATGTAAAACTAAATAGTGAAACCAAGGGTTTATTCTTCCAATCTTTAAATTGTTACAATACACTTGAGTATCCTTTCTTGGCGTGGTCCCATAGTCACATTCTATCCTAAGCAATGCTGCACAGGTATTGCAGGCTCATGACTATGGCTTCCTTTATTGAGTCTTTCCAGATGGAATGTGGTCTTCCTCTTTTCCTACTGCCTTCTATCTTTCCAAGCATTCTTATCTTTTCTAATGAATCATCTCGTGATGTGGCCAAAGTAGGACAGCTTAGTCATCTTGGTTATAGGGAGAGTTCAAGCTTGACTTGTTTTGGGACCCATGTCAACCCCCTCTACAATTTATTATTTATTTATTTCATATATTTCTATCCCGGCCTTCTCCCCACAAGGGGGACTTAGCGCGGCCTCACATGAGCATCAGAGGATGCTAACAACATAATACCATAAAAACTACAACTCACAATAAAATCATTTTAAAACATTGCACATCATCAATAAAATTTTACAATAAATTAATAGATTAACGTGTCAGTAAAACCAAATCGAGCTGGGAAAATCCATGTCGCAAAAATCCAAATTTCCCTTTCCTATTGCCACTGGCCCCTAATCGAATGCCTGGCCCCAGAGCCCAGGTCTTCGGTAGTTTCCTAAAGGACAGGAGGGAGGTGGCCAACCTGATATTCTTAGGGAGAGAGTTCCACAGATTTGGGGGGGGGGCACTGCCGAGAAGGCCCTGTCTCTCGTCCCCACCAACCCCATTTGCGAAAGCCAACAATGTGATGTGGCGGCAAAAAAAGCCAAAGGGATTTTGGCCTACATCAATAGGAGCATAGTGTCTAGATCTAGGGAAGTAATGGTACCCCTCTATTCCACTTTGGTTAGACCACACCTGGAATAATGTGTCCAATTCTGGGCACCACAGTTCAAGAGAGATATTGACAAGCTGGAATGTGTCCAGAGGAGAGCGACTAAAATGATCAAAGGTCTGGAGAACAAGCCCTATGAGGAGCAGCTTAAAGAGCTGGGCATGTTTAGCCTGAAGAAGAGAAGGCTGAGAGGAGATATGATAGCCATGTGTAAAATATGTGAGTGGAAGCCACAGGGAAGAGGGAGCAAGCTTGTTTTTTGCTTCCTTGGGGACTAGGATGCGGAACAATGGCTTCAAACTACAAGAGAGGAGATTCCATCTGAACATGAGGAAGAACTTCCTGACTGTGAGAGCCGTTCAGCAGTGGAACTCTCTGTCCCGGAGTGTGGTGGAGGCTCCTTCTTTGGAAGCTTTTAAATAGAGGCTGGATGGCCATCTGTCAGGGGTGATTTGAATGCAATATGCCTGCTTCTTGGCAGGGGGTTGGACTGGATGGTCCATGAGGTCTCTTCCAACTCTTTGATTCTATGATTCTATTATTCCTCCTAGTCACTATTTCGTGAAGCCCCTTCTACACTGCCATATAACCCAGATTATCAAAGCAGAGAATCCACACCATCTGCTTTGTACTGGATTATATGAGTCCACCACTTCCATATAATCCAGTTCAAAGCAGATAATCTGGATTTTATATGGCACTGTAGAAGGGGCCAGAGTTTGGAATTGTATCATCCACAATGAACCATGTCCCATGAAGCAGGTAAATGCACAATGGGCTCTTGACCTAACATGTGGAGGAAATAATAATAATAATAATAATAATAATAATAATAATAATAATAATATCATCACTATCACTATCTTAAAATAGACTTCAAGGTGGCTAACAGTGCTAAAAACAATACAATGCACAAATTAAAACCTAAAACATATAAACACTAAAATATAATTAAACAAGGGACTTTTAAAATATACAAGGAAATGAGAGAGAGGGAAGGCCCTCTTTCTCGTTCCAATCCACTGTACTTGTGATAGCGGTATGACCGAGAGATGGGCCTCTCTTGAAGATCTCAGGGCCCAAGCAAGTTTCTATAGGGAGATACAATCAGCCAAATAGCCTAGACTTGAACCATATCAAACTTTATAGGTTCTTTGAATTTTCTGTGGAAACAAACTGTCAGCCAGCAAAACTGTTGCAACAGAAATTTGTGCACTACTTGTTGTCGTTAGCAAAGGTCCTGGTATCAGGGCTGAGCAAAAACTAGGTTAGTCAGGACCAAATCTCACTTATAAAGAAAACTAAAGTCTTAAGTCTTCAAGGTCTGACCAAAATAACGGAACTGGAAAACACAAACCAAATCACTTTGAAACACTGCCATGTTCAAGAGTCCAGTTAATGAAGGCAAGCCTAAAAGTACAGAGCCAGATCAGGACCAAGAACAAACAATAGTCCATTAGTCAGATGCCAGGAGTTCAATTATTAGGGTTCATAAATGAAAGTTGAAGAATCCAGGAGTACAAACCGAAGTCAGAGTTCAGAAGTCAGGCCAGGTAATCAGGGATATAAACTAAAGTCAAAGTCCAAAGTCAGTTGTCAGTGTCCCGGAATCAGAGCCAGAAGTTCAGAATAAAAATAGGGTCTGAAACAAGAATACAAGAAACTAAGGTCAGAGTCTAGGAATCCAACCCAGGAGCAGCCGAGGCAAGGTCCAGGACAAAGATACTAAGTTCTCTAATCCACTGATCTGCTCCCCAGAGGCTTCTTTATTTTGAGGTCTCAGGTAAAGCTCATCTTCATCCAGCTTCAACCTCTAAATGCTGGAGCCTTTCCTTGTTGCAAAGGCTAATTAATCCTTCCCAAGCTTGCTGAAAATATTGGGTAGAGTCCTCTTCTGCTGGAGAGCTGCCCTCAGCAGTAGCCGAGTCAGAGCAGGCAGACTGCTGGCTAGCCATGACACCTGCAGCCTAGCTATAATGTGGTGTCTATACTGAAGTATTTTACATACAGAATGGGAATAAATGTGAACAGCCAAAACCGTTCTGTGTTAAATGTGCATAAGAGTACTTCCCAATATTATTAGAAAATTTACACCTCCTGGACTGCACGGTTATAGAATATAACTATTTATTTTTATAAGATTTCCTTATTTGTGCTGTTTTAAGCATTCTGGGGTGTTTTTATAATGGGAAATATTAGCTCTCTTCCACCTTTGATAGTAAACAAATTCCCTCTTCAAGCAGTGAGCTTAACTGTGTAGTGTTGAAGATACTGGAATGTTTTCTATTTATTTATTTACTCAACTAGACATAGGCCGTTTCTATGTCTATCAGCAGAAATGAACAAGGGTTACAGTGTTGGATCAGAATAAAGATATACATGAATGCATATCTATGTTGAGGAACAGGCATATAAATGGTAACACACTGAAAGTCTGTTGGCTCATGGTTTCTCCTGACAACCTTGGAGGTTTAGTTTTCAAGTAGGGAGCTAATGTGTGCATTGTGGCTGGCTGTTTGGCCCGCGTTTCTGCTTGTCATTAATTGGCTTGGGAGTTCACCAGAAGTGGGATATTTATAGGCACAAAGCTCTTATAATGATCACTTTTGAGCCTTTATCCCACTACTTTTGATCTTGGACTTCAGTTATCACCAGGTTTTTATATGCTAATTATCCAGTGTTTCTGGAAAAAAGGTTGAGAAGGGGGTATATAAAACAACCAGCAGTTTATAGAAGGTAAATCAGGCATTTCTAGTTATCTTTGCTAATAACACTTGAAAAAAGGGACTCCCATATAAAATCTGGATAGAGAGCAAGCTGATTTAATACAGATTTAACCCATGGAAACTCATTTAGAAAGATTAACTTGTGGAACAAATTGTTTTCCATGTACAAACACTGTTTCATCTATAAAGATCTGAGCAAGTAGCACTAAAAATTGTTTTGAAACCAAATTCGTATTTTGAAAAAGAAACATGTAGGACTCCAATCATGTACATATTCTCTCATCCTATTAATCTCTTACTTTTGAGTAGAAATGTTAGGTTTTTATTGTTACTTTGCAATCTCGAATAGACTAGTTAGGAGATAAAAACTGCCTTGAACATAATAGAAGTTACTTCTGAGTAGATGTGCTGAAGACCATATAACTCGGAGACCATATAAATGTTCAACCATAGACCACCCATACTTTCAGCTCTAGCAATCCCGAGGATTTGAAATCTCTCGTTTACAGTAATGTATCCTCTTCAGAGTCTCTGGCACCTTCCCCAAAACCTTTGCTAAGACACAAGCAAGATGTGAATCTTCACAGGTCTTTCGTCTAAAATAGTGGAACAATTTCCTAGTGTCTGTAGGGAGTGTATTCTTTTATGCTCCAATGGACCTTCCCTCCAGCCTCCCCGTTCCTGGAGATGTGGGAGGTTGTTTATATTTGTTATATGCATTACAAGTTATTAATTGCAGCCTAAATTGCTCCTTAGCAGGGAAATTGTATTCCAAGCTGGGAAACGTGCAACACTTTCTTCGTAGGGTTCCCTATGATTAATTAAAAAGGAACGGCCTCTTTACAGCTTTCTGCTTTCCACTTTAGTGCAGTAAATTTCCACCTTGGGGGATATAATTTCCTTGTTGTGTTCCACACAGAGAGGTTCTGTTAAGCACTACTCTGCTTATGATGGAGGCTCCACGCACCCATTGGCTGGTTTGCAAATAAATGTTTCGAATGTCAAATTATTTACAAAACTGCCATTTTAGGAAATGTATTGAAGACTATTTCCAACATTGTTTGCATAATTTCCGAAGTTCAGAGGCAAAAACCTGTTTTTTGAGAACAGATTGTGGAGCTGCTGTGGGTGTCTGAAGGCAAGTGGAAGGATGCAAAGGTGGACCAAGGGAACAAAGTTATTGGGTATAAATATACAAGGGGTGTTTGCTGGCATGTTGCTGCCACTGGCATTTTTATAGCTCTCCTGTTGAATTCACCTTAAGGGAGGCTGCCTATTTAAAGATTGTATCTAAAGCTCTGATTGACTGAACCACCATTACATAGCTTTATAAAAATGTTTCATGCTGTGGAGTGTAAACGGATTTGTTCCTCCTTCTTGTTTTGAGGGCCGGTTTCTAAAGGCATGATTAAGAGCTTGATCATGCAGGGTGCTAAGCCCAGTTTTTGGACTGTTACTCATTTACGTAGCACTTTATGGGAGGATGCTTCCCCATGTGGATGCTTTGGCCACACGCAGAGGCATCTCCGTTGGGTACAGGAGAGCCCTTGTACCCCTCCAGTAGATTTTTCTTAGCTAGTTAAGAAATGTTAGCCTGGAATCTACATCTCTACATGGAATACAGATAGCTGGATGTAAATGGGAGATGCCCATGCCAACCATCTTTTCCTGAAAGTGTCATTTGTGGCATGCCAAGGGCCCATGTGCATGAACCAAAGTGCCTTCTGATGCTCCATGATGATCCTGCCGCATGCAGGTGCTATGCACATGTGAGAAATGATCTCACAATTTGCATCCAAATAAGTACAAACCCTGTATCCACAGATTGTGGCATATACATGATTTTACTTATCCATAGTTATTCACTTAGGGCCTCTTATACAAGCTACACTCTTCACTCTGCCTCCTTTGTTTCTCTCACTGAAAATTATAGGATTTGCTATTCTCCATGGTTTAATATATCCACATGAAATTCGGAAATGTACCCTTACCAACCCACAGATAACTGGGACTCATGCTGTATGGTATACATTGTGAATATAGACCAACACAAGACTTGGAAGACAATGAGCTCAAGCACACCCAGCTCTGTGTTGATACTGCTTTCCTTTCTAATAATCCCTTAAAGCAAAAACTACCAATTTAATTTGATTAATGCAGAGTTAAGAGTGGTGAAACTGTTAGTCAATACCTCCTATTTATTTCTTTTAATTTATATACAGCTTTTCTTCCGAGTGGTAGCAAAGGCATATAAACCAAAAGAAAGTACATGAATTAAAACCTAATAATAAAAAATAAAACAAAAAATAAAACACACACATCAAATAAACTACCACATTAAAATATCAATACCAAAACAAAGTGGTTATTATTTGACTGTTGTGGACAGCAGTGGGGGCACTGTTTATTGCACTGCACTAATTACGACACTATCTCAGTAAATAAAAATGCTTTGACCAATTCTAGCTTGAGAAGCAAAGTTTTTTATTTTTAAGTCCCATTTTAATCCCTTTATTTAAGCAAAACATTTACAACTACTTTCTACAGTCTATCTGGTTAATGTGTCTGTTACTATTTTAAGATATACTATGTCTACAGCAAAAAAATGGACTGAATCAATCACCACCTGGACCACTAGTTAGGGAGGGCGATTTCATCTCCTGCATTTCAATCTAAATATAAAAGAATTACTTCTTGTGATCCAGTATACTCATTTGATGAAGGAAGTAATCGTTATGGAAAGATAGAATTGGAAAGGATATCAAGAGCTATTTAGTCCAACCTTCTATATTACAAATCCACTTTGAAAGGATGGTCACCTAGCTCCCATTTAAATATCTCGAGTAAAGGAGAGACCACCATCCTCTGAGGCTGTCTATCCTACAGTCAAATAGCTCTTATTATCTTGAAGTTCTTCCCAAGGTTTAGATTAGGGACCTCATCACATTGATCTTTGGCTCCATCCTAGGACACTTACAAGATAGAGCCATGACAGAGCCCATCACATAATGCAGGGCAACCACTGGTGGTGCTCCTTCCTAGGATGGAGGACAGAGAACATGGGAGGCTTAGAATGGGGTCAGCACATGTGGGAGCCAGGAGGTGATGCTTTCTTCTATGTGATGGCGAAAGCGGCGATGTGGGATGGTGGTTTCCCCCACTGCCTCACAAATTCACCATGCTGCCTGGTGAACCTCCCTGTTGATGCCCACATTTAGGACCTCTGTGTGTGGAGATCTGGAATCTTCTTTCTTGCAATTTGATTTGGGTCCTAGCTCTCCGAAAGAAAAAAACAAACAAACTTGTTCCATCTTTCACATGAATCTTTTTATTTACATAATTTAAAGATGGCTATTGTATCACTTCTCAATGTTCTCCTCTTCAAACTAAACATGACCAGATCCTTAAGTTTTCCCTCATAAGTCTTTCTCTCCAAAACCTTTTAGCTCCTTGGCCACTCCTTTCTGGACACATTCCACCTAATGAACCCTGGTTGCAGTTATGCCTATGCAAGCTGTTCTATTTTAGCACCCCTGGTAAAATATTCTTTCTGTAACCTGAATCCCTAGCCCCAGATAAAGTTGTCACAGTTGAAAGCGAAAGAAAAACTTCTCAAGGATCCGTACTTCCTTAACGAATCCACTCTGGCCCTGTTGACTGAATGCATCAGTGATATTTACGATGAAGCAGATGCTGGTCTTGTTGGTCTTTTGCACTACGATAACTCTGGCTTAATGTGCCCCTAGAGGACGCACTGAAAAGCACAGGGTCACTGGGTAAGAACTCTAAACAGAATGAACTCATATAAAGTACTACAAATTACATCAGAATGTACACTAGACTCTCTGCGGAGCTGAGGGGAATACTGACTTGGGAATACCGCGTGAGTCAGACTGTTAGTCATGGATCTTGGCCAAGATCACAAACATTTCTATTAACTCAAGACTACAGAAGACTCTGTGCTGCCTGAGTATTATATTACTCCAGGGACTGACTAAAGAATGGGCTGGCTGCCTTCCTTCACTACAGAAAGCATGCAGATGCCAAATCCAAATGCCAAAGGGGTTCTTATACAGTCCATCGGCTCTTTTAAGACAAACAGCTGTGACTGCCAACACTGTCTCATACTTCAAACCCCAAATCCATGTGTTGGTCTCTTCAGGTGTCAGTTCCTGGTTAATAGGTTTAATCAAAGCTGGGATAAAATGCTCATCTGTATCTCTTGTGAGGCAAAGGGAATTGTTTGTGGGTTTTAAAAAAAGATTAAGGGTATCACCAGCTTTGCAGTTCTTATGCCTTGTAGGAGGACTTTTCATAAGTTCAGATGCATTCCTGTCTTGGACTGATTTCTGCCTTATATATCCTACCTGTTCTTGAGCACAGAAAACAGTTACTTAAGGTTCTTGATCAATGATGTCCATGTCTGAATACTGTCTCTTCTGCTTGTCAAGTCAATAATTGAGAAAAGCTGTGGACAAGCAATGCTTATGCAAACAGGAGTAAGTAAAGATGGAGGGTGTTGGAAGAAGTTGATTATAGTGTCACACTGGAGGACCTAGAGATTGCTAGAGAGAACATTTTAAAACCAATTAATAAATAATCAAATGCACAAAAGTCAAAACTGCAAATGTGGAGTGACGATTATATTAATCTCTGCTTCCTAATTCCTGTCTCAGTTGTGTTAACTTGAGAAAAAATGCTTTGCATGTGGTCATATCAGTTGTATTCATGTGATTTCTTTCTTTCTTTTTTCTTCTCCCTTCCAAACCCCTTCTCTAGATTCTGATGGCAGCCCTGAGGCAGACTGTGAAAAATGTCATCTATGTCCTTGTTTTGTTGTTCCTCTTAATGTTAATCTTTGCGATTTTGGGTCATGGTTTGTATGGAGATCCCACACATGGAGACTATAAGAACTGGGGCACCTTAGCAGCTGCCTTTTTCACTCTCTTCAGTTTAGTAACGGTAAAATCGTCACATCCTTCCAAGTATTTCATGTCTCTGTTAGACAAACTGTGTTCACAACAGTCTTGATTTGGAGAAAAAAAGAGAAGATCTCTAAGCAATAGAAACTATGTCCATGTTGGTTCTATGCAGCGGGGTAATAACAATAATAATAATAATAATAATAATAATAATAATAATAAGTCATGAGCTTGGTAGTGTCCCTAGATGTGGTGCAGGGATCCATGATACCATGCAATAATAAAAAGGGGAAAGAAGTCCAAAACATGAACTTTCCAAAATTGTGGTACATCGTCTTATCAGGATGGATATTTAATTCTTTTTCCCAGCTGCTATTTGCCTACTAGGGCAAAGCATGCAGACAGCACACTGTGATATTGAAATATCAAGGTATATCAATTGTTTTCCTATGGATTAGAGGCAGCTGGCACATTTTTAAAAACATTTCATTAGGCTTATTATCCTTGATTAAAATTCCAGTCATGGTCTCTGATTTTCCTATAACATTTTCACAACATCTGAACAGAGCCAGAGCTCAAAAGTAACTAGTTACTTATAATTATGCCCCTTTAAATATATGTTAACATCTGCTAGAGGAGCAATCCATCACATACTGCTAGCTTCATACTCTTTCCCAAGATGCTTGTTTCTTTAATGCCTGGCTCTCTTTGGAACCAAGGGACCATGAGAGGGATGGCTTGGGAAATCACCTGTGCTTTGTACCACAGACCACAACCTAGAATGTCTCCCTTCCTAGACTATCAGACTGATGAAGAGACTCTCTGTATTTTGCAGACTGTCCACAATGCAGAAGTATAGCAGATTGACATTAATTTAACTACTTTGGCTCCATCCTATGAAATCCTATGATTTCTAGTTTCTTATAGTACCAGAGATCTCTGATAGAAAAGGGTAAAGATCTCATACCACTATAGATTGTAGATTGTAGCACTGACCCATGGCAGTTAATGTTTGTTTCAAACTGCTATAATTCTGCAGTGTGGATACAGTCAGGGAGTGCCAGTGGCCTCTGGGAATTCCACAAACTGGTCTTAATGGAAACATCCCTCTCCTACTGTTATTCCCCAGTACAGGCAGTCCCTGAGTTACAAACATCTGACTTACAAACAACTCATAGTTAAGAACGGAGGTGAGACCACAGGAAGTGAGAGAAATCTATTCCTCGGAAGGGAAATTCATCCCTGAAAGCGTTATCCTGGGGAAAAGGTGTTTCCACTGAAGCTTTAGCACCAATCCTTGTTTCCACAACAAGCCAGAAGCCACATTTTTCAAAATCAAATTTTCACAGGGACAGAAAGAGAAGTGAAATCTTCTTAATAGGGCACAGACAGCAAAACAAACACCATGGGGCTGTTCATCTTTGCCTATGCTATCCAAAGCTAGCTAGCTCGTTCTCTATATATGGCTGGAGTTACACTTAAATACATACCTGTTCTGCCTGAGAAACAACTTCAGCTTAAGAATAAACCTACAGAACCTATCTTGTTTGTAACTTGGGGACAGCCTGTATCTGGTATTTGGGTGCATGTTGCCTTTGATCCTGTATTTTCATCATTACATAATAGCCTTATCTTCCAGGAATATAGCAATAAATATAAAACATAGAAATGAACTGATAATAAAGAAAAGAGATGCAACAAAGCAGTAGTGTGTACAAACTCCAGGGATAATAATTGGTATTTCTGCATATCATTAAGTAAGAGTTGTTTTAAATGCAAAGTGTATGCAGGCGCCAATAGGAATGTGTATGTGTGCTGTTTTTTTGCTGTGTGTGGGAGGGATGTATTGTTATTATGCTGATTTATATGAATCTTGACTGATTTTTTTCATAGTTGGATAATTGGTCTAATTAACTTCCAGGTTGATGGCTGGACAGACTTGCAAGAAGAATTGGATAACAGACATTTTGTTTCAAGCCGAACATTCACCATTGTGTTCATTCTCTTGGGATTTTTTGTGTTTTTCAACATGTTTATTGCAGTTGTCATTATGGATATTCAGGTAAGTTGTCATTGTTCCCTATAGAAGTATATTCATTTGCTATTTGGTATTTGATATAAACCAAATAATAGTTTATAAGTTGTTGTTGTTGTTGGTGTGTGTGTGTGTGTGTGTGTGTGAGAGAGAGAGAGAGAGAGAGGCTTGTGATTAAAATTCTAGTTTAAATCCAATTATTAACTCTAAATTATAGTTGCTGTTGTTGTTATTGTGAGCCTTCAAATTGTTTCCAAGTTCTAGTAATCCTAAAGCAAATGTTTTACGGTCTTCAGAAGACTTGTTCAGAGTGGGTTTGCCATGACCTTCCTCTAAGGCTATGGGAGTGTGACTTGCCCAAAGTCATTCAGTGGGCTTCCATAGATCAATGTAGATTTGAATCTTAGTCTCCTGGACTTCTAATTCAGCAACCAACACATTGACTTATAACTAGTGTAGGCCCATTAAATCAAGGAAAACCTGCTGATAAGAAAGTCTTGCCTATGTTCTGTTGATTCAATGAATCTGCCCTATTTGGGACAAACAATTGGATTAGGTCTTTGTTATTAGAATATTAGAGCAGAATAATGTCTTAACCTGTTAAAATCCTGATGATGGGAGACTATGGACACTTCTTTACTGACCACTCAGGTCTGTTTGGAAGTCATTAGGGCAGAAACTGGTTTCACTTTGACTAGATTGACATTTCTGAAACAGATTTAAGGCCAGGAAGGTGAATACATTAACCACGGAATGTGGCCTGAAACTGGTTTCAGAACCTGCAGTTTCCATGGCTTGGCAGCTGCTGGAGACTATATCCCACCCCCCATTTCCCAGTGAAATGCATACCAGCATTTGGGAGATATACAAGGTAGGAACAAGAAAGGAAACTGACAGTAGCAGTGGAGGTGATCAATTACTTGTTCCATGGGGTCTTCTAGCCCCTTGCTGTAATTCTTCATTGTGGATATACTTGAACCCATCTGATATCAGACAAATCCCCTGTTTAACTTAATGTGTTACAGCCCTATATATCTGCTACTTTCTCTGTGTTCTAAGGCAAGCTGGGCAAAAAGAGAGATAGTTTTCCTGGGCTAAAAGAGTCTCCTTACAAAATGGGGAAGCCAATGCAACTTCCTTTCTCAGGACCATCTAACAGCCTTTGCTTTGATATACGTAGAGTTCCACTGAGGAATATGAACAAAAGCTCAAAGCAGAAAGGCGGGCTAATCTCATTGCCAAGAAGCAAACCATTTTAAAAAGGCAACAGGACGAAGTGAATGATTTGCTCAACCAGCAAGTTAGTACTGCATTTTCTTTTGTTTTCCTAATAGCAGTCTCTGTTCATTAGTCCTCAAAGTTTAGGAATGTCAAATATTATAGAATTTCAAAAGCAAGCAAGGTTGTAGATTTTCATTACATTTAAAGCTGAGTCTTTACCTTGTGTATTTTACTTATAAACCAGTGGAATGGTTTTTGTGTTTTGTGTTTTTTTGCTTGGTTGCAACTCTACTCTTCTCTTTGGACTTTAACCTCTGACCAGGCAGTGTATAACTGCCTAACCAAGAGCAGTGGTTATGCCCTTAGAGCTAAAACTAGAGAAACAAAAGTGATTCTTAAAATGATTTTGAGTTTATTCAAATGTTGTACATCTGTAGAATATTGCATATTTCCTCATAAACTAACTGTGGCATATAATAATTTGTGATCAATTATACATATATGTATCTTATTCATACTTCCTATTCCTCCTTAGTTTGTTACACTGCATATGGTATATCTCCCTGGATAGACTAAGACAGATTAACAACTGCCACAAACAATAGGTACTGGAAATTTGGAAATTTAATGGATCCCACTCTGAATATTCCTTTCTGGCAAAAACCCTAGTTTTCATAGGTGGGCTAATTGAAGGAACACACATATCCATTGATTTTCAATGTATGCAAAAAGGAGACATGCAAGGAGATAGGAAACTGTTTCACATGTTCAGGTCAATCCCCGGAGACACCAGGTGTCAAACAACCCCGAACTAATGGCACCTGGAAGAGTTATGTGGAAACAATTTGCACAAATAGTCTAGGGACCTCATCATATGTAGGCTCCAAAAACAGGCAACAATGAGGGGATTCTCCGGGCAGCACAGCAAAACCGTGGGGCAGTGGGGAAAACCGTCACACACCCCCCCTCCACTCCGCATCACCCACACTACCGCTTTCTTCATCTCATGAGGGAAAGTGTTCCCACCCAACTTCTCCCTGTCCTGGCCCCATTTTTAGCAATGAGAACATGGGAAGCCTCTCATGTTCTCTGGCCTACATTCTAGTAGGCTTCCAGGACAGAGCCAGGATGGAGTTTCACCAGAAGTAGCCATACATCGTGTGAAGGGCTCTAGCAGTCCTTCCCCCGGTACATCCTGGAAGCATCCTAGGATGGAGCCAGAAGACAATGTGATGAGTTCCTTAAACTCTACTATCCCTCCTAACTTCTGGCTTCCTTCAAAAGTGAGAAACTAGAGTAGAAAAGGGTCAATTTGGGTCAAATGTGGAAATATGCAAAAATAGTGAAAAATCAAACCTAGAATGGTCAGTCATCTCTTTGGTGAGAGTTGGGATGGCTTGTAGGATACAAAGCTTTTGTAGAAGTCACCGGGGGATACTTGAGAGATTCTGGGGCTCACATTGAGGGCTCCAAGGAAGCAATTAGACCTATCAACATCCACCCCTGCTTCAAAGAGACAGGCACAAGGTTTGAAGGGGTTGCCTACACAGTGTCTGACAATTCTTGACTAACATCAACGAATCTTGAACTAGACACAATATGTGTTACATTGAGCCTTTCCCTTGTTATTTGCTATTTGTGCAAAGCTAAATGTGTCATTGAAATGCTGACCTTTCAATTGTCTGCCTATCGTTTTACACCAGAAATCAACTGAATATCAAACTTTTAATGAAATGGTGGAAGAGTTCAAAAAAACCTTGCTTCACACAGATCCTATGATCTTAGAAGACTTTTGTTGCAGCCTACCATTCATCGATCTCTATCTGTTATCCTTAGATCGCCAGGATGCCACAATTTATAAGTATGTATGGTAATCTTCCTAAATCAAGAGAAATGAGAATTGGGTCCTGTTCACATGGGATCATGTTGTTTTATTTTAGCCAGAGCCTGGAAATGTTTTTTGCGGAACTACATATTCCAGAATGCTCTAGATAACATGACAAGGATCCATGCTGGCTGAGAAACTTTAATTTTAAAAAGTCTCTTTCCAGAGCAGTTAGATGTACAACATATATTTCACATGCATTCTGAAGTATGCCACATGCATCCTGCAAGAGCTGTAACATGTGCTTTTTCTGGTTTTGAATTTCAGAAGACTAGGCTGACCTTTAATATCTACCCCACCCCCTTTTATCCCCTAACTGTGTAAAAATTGCAGGAATACAATTCTTTCTAGTTAGGACACATCTGTTAAAAAGAGAGGTGCTTCATTCTAAAATGGGAGGAAAAACCCAAATGCATTTTATATTACTACCCTTAAAATGTATATGAACAATACAGAAGGCATAACCCTCCTGGGTAATCCCTGTAAAAATCTCATGCCAGCAATTTAGGACCATATGAATGATGTTTTTTATATCAGTAAGAGTATATTACACTCTGTCACTTTTGCACTCTTAGGCTTGCTTGCAGATTAGAGGCGCTGCTGGAACATGAATTGAAGATGTCTCTCAAATCTTAGAAAAGTTGCTGCCACAATTCAATTGTCTTAGGCAAACTGTTAATCATGAATATTTAATTTGTTTCCTAAACAAACAGACAAACAAATAAAAATAAGCTCCAGGTCACAATTTTTTATGCAAACAATACCAACTAATCCAGTGGTTCTCAACCTGGCAAACTGGCTGGGATTTCTCAGAGTCCAAAACACCTGGGGACCCACAGGCTGAAATCCACCGAAATAAGCAAAAAAAAAAAAAAGTTAAAAGCAACAACTAGAAAGAAGCAGGAGCAACACAGATTTTATTACTTAAGAGAACAATGTATGGCCAACATCATCTTTAGATAGAAATAGCACTACATGTGTTGAAGGTTTTACCGGACATTGTGCAATGATTATATAAAGTTGCTACGGTTGAAAATGGTGGCCCACATGAAGACATGTACCCATATACCTCAGTGAAGGTGTACATAATCCATAAGAGTCTTCTGCTTATTCTGTAATGGGGTATTGCAATTGCACAATGATCTATCAGCCATGTACCTTTTGAAGTGGTCCACATATACTGGGTGGCAGCATCATCATCTAATATCGGGATTATGTAATGCAAGCAGACAATAACTCCATCAATTGTTATTTTCACTCTGCTGTAGGAGGTTGGCCTATCTTTCAGAGCATTGATATAGAAGGGGCTGTAGATCTGTGCCAGAGCTCATATTTTGACACAAAAGTATTACAGGTTCAATCTTCTGAACAGCACTAGCCACAGATGACTTCATCTAACAGTTGTTTATGAAAACCTCTTGGAACATAGAGTGACATTTGACTTTAAAACAGGAAAGAGGTTGTGCAGGCCAGATGTACTGAATTTGCTGGGATTTCTAATAGCATCAGAAAAACACTCTGTAGTAACTGTCAAGGTTACCCCTTGACATTAAGTCTAATCAGGTCAGACTGTGGGGGTGGTGCTCATCTCCATTTCTAAACTGAAGAGCCAGCATTTTTCGTATTCGCCTCCAAGATCATGTGGCCAGCACAACTGCATGGAGCAGTATTAACTTCCCGCCAAAGTGGTACCTATTGATCTACCCACATTTGCAAGTTTTTGGTTGCAGAAGGTTGGCAGAATCTGGAGCTAACAACGGGAGCTCACCCCATCCTGTGGATTCGAACCACTGACCTTCCGGTCAGCAAGTACTGCAGCTTAGTGGTTTAACCTGCCGCACCTGGATGGTTAAAAGGGCACACTTCTATCTAAAATTGTTTGCCAGATTTAATGAAACTATATTGATTTCACAATTCACCAATTTTATGCCATTTTAGTATAATGAAATTATGATTAAATATGTTTGCTTACTGTGTCACTCCAGGCTGCAAGAACTCTATTATGAAATTGTTGCTACTTTGACCACTCTGTTACGGGAAGCAGAAGAAAAGTCTTTGAAATCTTTGCAGTTAGCCAACGTAAAATCGAAATCTTCTTCCTCTATGACTCCAAGCCAAATAATAAATAAATAGTTATTTTGCTCTGAAAAGAAACATTCTTGTGCATTGCATTGCTATGACTGTAATTAATGGTAAATCTCCCTTATGAACTTCTATCAGAGATCAGATTTTGCCCAGCTCGTTCACATCTTGGGAAACGTAAACATAATTTGACTGCTCTCCTAATGTATCTTTGTGTTTGTGGTTGTATCTCTTTCCATCTTTATAGGCATAGGTCAAAATGTTAGATCATATCCTGTGACTTTTTTCTTGAAGGCCATGTGGTAGCTGTTAACTAGCAAACCCAGATGCAGTGCAAAATAAAAGTTTATTCTGTCTGTGCAGAATAATCCCCCATTTGTTGTTTGTTGGGAGAAAGGAACAAGATCTTGTGTCTGCACAAAATTTCCCTTTCCATAGTGGTCAGTGAGCGCACAGAACATAAATGAGGGCCATGCAGCATGCTCCCTAGCGTCTAAGGATACATAGAATACACATAGGTTTGTGATGATGGAATTTGAATGCCTGGGTGTTTGTAGTCAACTTCATTGCCACTTAAGTAGTCATGAATTTGCACTGCTAATTGCTAAGATGACATGGAGAAAAGGTTTGATGGCAATGGGAATAACTACTCTTTGAGTCTTAGAGCTGGTGAGACTTCTGATCCAACAACATTTCGAGAACTAGAAATTTAGCAAAACAATTTGGGAGAGGGAAGTCTTGATGATGTAATGCAACTTGACTTCCAAAGTCTCATGAGCAGCAATAATATCCTGAGAAGAAATCCATTTTGAAATGTTTAGTTATGCTTGGTCATTTTGAACAAGATGGAAAAATATTTTCTTTGGTGATTCTGTCGATTATTCTAGAGCCACAGGATCCTGCTCCTTCGCAGAAAGCAAGAGTCAGATGTGAAGCATATTTTCTTCTTGAATTAACCTCAAAATGTGAGAAAGGGCAGGGAAATCCTCTAGACGCCAGTGGCGGGTGAAACCGCCAGCTCTTGAAATAGTTTGAGAATTTCATGGATGGCATTTACCAGTCTCACTCCCTCCCAAGAAAAAAGAAGGGATATAATATTTGGTGCTGAGATCCTGGACTCGTATAAATATATTTTTTGTATTACAGCTGTGAAACACTTTATGATTATGTGTAGTGGGATGGTGTATAATATTACCAAAAGAACCACTTGAAAAATGTCCTCTTTAATAGTAAGTGGTTAGTCTGGGTTACTCTATGGCTTTTTAGTAGTAAAATAAATTAGAAACAGACGTGAACAGTGTCTAAATCTAGGCTCCGAAATGTTTGAAAAATGATGCCCATAAAGCAAAATTATTGACACTTTCTGACAAAGATATGGGCTGGTGTTTAAAAAAGAGAGAGAAAAAAATTCTCATGCTGCTAACATCTTTTTGAGTACAAGCTACAAAACCAGATAGCAGCCAGTTTGGCACAAGTAAAGCCATTTTGAAACTTTGACTGTCAGTTAATAAGATCTTCATCTTCATAGAACATTAGATTTGATGGGCTATTCTATTAGTATTGTACATTTGACATATATTGGATTTTTGAAAAAGGACAAGTATAGCTTGCACTTTTGAATAAATGCCCCCTCCCTGTTGTCCTTCTGTTGGCATGCTAAAACCTTTCTATTTGGACAGGCTTTTAAAATGAAATATTTTTAAAGAACAGATGCCTAAATTTAGCCTGTATAGATAGTCAGTGCAATTATTATGATGTCATTTGTGGTCTGCTTCTCATCACAGTAATGGAAGTTCTGCTGGGGAAGCCCTCCTCTCAGTCCCACCCCCTTCGCAAGTGCAACTGGTGGGGATGAGAGAGGGGCCTTGTCAGTGGTGGCCCCTTGGCTGTGGAACTCACTTCCCGATGACATTAGATTGGCCCCACTCCCCTGGTCTTCAGGAAAAGGCTAAAGACCTGGCTTTGTGCACATGCATTCACAGAATAGGGTAACGGAACTTGATTTTAACTTTGCAGCCCGAATAAGGTCCAGGGGATAATTTAGAATTTGGAAAGTATGATTCAGCACTTTGTATGATTAAATCTGTTTTATTGTTTTATATGTTTTAACTGTTTCTATGCATAATTGTTTTACAATTTAATGTGTTATGTTTATGTTGTATATACAATGCAGCTTTGCATATTTGCCATAGTTTGTAAAGCCGCCCTAAGTCGTGAGAAGGGCAGGGTGTAAATAAAGTAAATAAATAAAAATAAGTTCCAAATGTAGTTCCAATGTTATTGAATTGGACCCTTCCTTACATTTTTCAAATGATGGAATCTCAATATGAAGATCACCATTTACAATGTATTTATTTATTCATTATCTTTATTTGTACTCCACCTTTCTCCCTGTGGGGATTCGAGGCAGCTAACACTCCACACTAGGCAAGTTTAAAAGGCGCAATGCAAAAATGAAAAAGCAATTAAATAGTAGCAGTATGGTAAAAACAAAATTAAAATGCAGTAGATCTACTAAAATGGCCTTTAAGACTCATATTCCTCCCAATCCCACCCATAGCACCCCTGAATTAAAAACCACAACACCCCCTGAACTGATCTTAAAAACCTTCTTCTTTAAAAGCCTGCCTGATTTATGTAGATTAATGCAGATTTATATAGGAAGCTATCATATTTTGCTCCTTTGTCTTGACTTTTAATATAGCTGATAACAGAATTAAAATTCTTATAAAACTGATACAACTAGAGAAGAGGAAAAACCAAGCATAAAAACGGCAAACATAAAATCAACTGCCACCAAAAAAAGCACTTCAGAGGTCCTAACTCAATTAGAAGCTGGCTAGCAGAGCAGCATTTTAAACTGGTTTATAAAATCATTGAAAGAGGATACCAAGTAAATTGATAGGTAGGGCAATTCTCCAATCAAGGTGAGAAGGACATCTTTTGAGTTATGGCTCTCACTGAAAGTGAAATTATTCTGAATAATTCTTTATTTAAGGAATTTTTTTATTGCATTTCTAACTACCAGAACTTGAAGCAAAAGGACCATAGGTGGGAATATTTAGAACATTAAAGGTGTGATCGAAAATAATTAAAAATTAAAATTATTTTTAAAAATATGTTTTAAAATTAGAGACAGTTCAAAAATTGTTAGAAAAAGGAATTGCCTCTGATTTTGAGAGCCAAAGGCCAAATGAGATAGATTAGTCATTGATGCTTGACAGAAACTCAATAGGAGTGATGAATAAAAAACCTGACTTGACTTGAGAGAGAGGTCCACAGTTGAGGTGCTGCTACAGAAAGAGTCCTAGCATAAGTCTAGCTTCAAGAGGTAATGGGACATGCAGCTGGATCCATATGGAAAAAGAGATTCTGGCCCAAAGCCATTTAGCAATACACAAATTGCTTAAATACCCTAAAGGCACCAGATTCCATCTGAACTAGAAAGCCAAGGAAGATCAGTTTAGTACTTGGATGGTAGACTGCCAAAGAACACGAGGTGTCGTAATCTATATTTCAGGGGAAGGAATTGGGTAAACCACTTCTAAATGTCCCTTGCCTTAAAACTATGAAATCCATGGAGTCATCATACGTCGAGAGATGACATGAAGGCATAGCCACCCCTAGCCTCCAGAGTACTGTGAATAATATCAAATTGTTTTGTGCTATGCATGAATTATGAGGTGTCTCTTATCTGAGAGCCAAGAGACTTGGCCTTTACATAAACAGGTGCTTAAAAAACCCCTTGTATTTTGTGTCATGGATCTGTCAACAAAAGATGAAACTGAGTTGCAGGAGGAAGTAAGCATGTCTAAAGCTCACTGCCAGTAGATACCGTTATATCTCCCACCCACCCCCATACTTAAAGGGAATGTTTCCCCCATAGCCCCCCCCCCATCAACCAGTGACAAAGCTCAGGAAGACAAACAACAAAGTCTCTCTTTGACATGTGTACAGAGATTTCCTGGCTGCTTCCTGTTGTTCCCAGTATACAGCATACTCCAGGCAGAAACTGATTGAGCAAAGGAAGAGGCCATTGAGGATGGAGCAACCAGTCAGTCCAACACAACAGACCAAGCTCCAAATTCATGTTCAGAGTACTAACCTTTCAGCTGTGGATGGTTGCATGTCTTCATAAAATGTGTGTGTGCATGTGTGTATGTATGCTTGTGTACCCATGTGTGTACCATGCTCTACAAAGCAAAATGCCATGAGAGATAACAATTATGTACATTCAGAAGCAAGCCCCAATGCATTTGATGGGACTTTCCTCCCAGTAAACATGCCTGCCAAAGGGAGGCGTACTAAAGATAGCTGGAAATACATATATTTTTATGACAATTGTGTTTTTCCAACTTTTATGCATTTTTTGTATAATGTCATTCCATTTGTCTCCGAGAGGTGAACACATTGTATATCACCCCCACTTTTATCTGGCATTATTTATCCAGAAGTCTGAATTAAAAAATCCTCCAAAATCCAAAATGTTACACGTGGGTAGCTGAGATAATGACACCTTTGTTTTCTGATGTTTCAAAGTACATTAACTTTGGGTTGTTGTAGGTTTTTCAGGGTGTATAGCCATGTTCTAAAAGTATTCTCTCCATATTCTAGAACATGGCCATACAGCCCGAAAAACCTACAACAACCCAACGACTCCAGCCATGAAAGCCTTCGACAATACATTAACTTTGATTCATGCATAACATTATTCAAATATTGTGTATAAGATTACCACCAAGCTAATGTGTATATGAAACTTAAATGTATCTCATGCTTAGACTTGGGTACCATCTTCTAGATATCTCATTGTATATATGGAAGTATTCCAAGAAGCGGGGGGGGGGGGGGGGTGGTGGTGGTGGTGGTTTGAAATACAGAATACATCCACGCCCAAACATTTAAGCAATATCCAACCTGTATGAATTGTTTTTAAGCCTTCCGGGGTCAAATGCTTCTTTGTAGAAATGTGTGTGTGTGTGTGTTTTTCCATTCTAAAAAAGCAAATTGAGTGATAAGGTAACCAGATGTTCTGTAAGCCTAACAAAATCTAAGATTTAAGTTTCTTTGAATTATAATCATAGAAGTCAAGCATTTTTGATAGGAGTAAAATGGATCCAGGACTGTTGAAGCAGGCCAAAAAGGAAACTAAATGTGAATTTTCAAAAAGGCAGAAATCTGTGCATCGTTATGTGTAGAGAATATGGGCAATATGTTAATTTGCAGAGAAATGCGTAGCTAAGTCAGCAAAATCAAAACTTTTTTTTAGTGAGAACACCATTTGTTAATAGTTACCTTTCTTCTCAGAGTAGTTAGACCAGTACCCTCACCCCCTCTTTCCATAGACAGCTGAAGACCCTTCTGTTCCAACAGACCTTTAAGGTCCGATTGCATAAGGCCTGTCTTGCCTAAACAATGTGCTGGATTTTCTATTTGTTGTTTTTATTGTGATATTTTTTATGGTTTATGTTTCTAACTTGTTGGAATTTTCTGATAAGCACTCTTTAGCGTTTGTATTTTGTGAACATTTAACTACGCATATACTTACGTGCAAGTCTAAATAATTCAGTCAAAATTTCAATCCAAAATACCTGGGTCAATTTATCTCTGGGTCAATGTAAGTACTGTACCTTAACTCTCATCAGAAAGTAGCCATCCACTTTTCTATGTGGAGTGGTGACCACTGAAAGCTTGGTTCATTCTGGGAGAACAAAAAAAATGCATTTGCCCTCTTAATAATAGTAGTAATAATAATAATAATAATAATAATAATAATAATAATAATAATAATTTTATTCATATTCCGCCCTTCTCCCCGAGGGGACTCAGAGCAGATTAGTATATAAACTGTAAACAGGCAAACATTCAATGCCTCGATTACAATGACATACAATGAGACACAAATACACAGACAAATGCAAAGGCTTCTCCTTTCATTTCTGGCTCTGGAGGTGGTGCTCATCTCTGGCTCTGAGGGAGGTGCTCTTTCTGCATTTCCAAGCCAAGGAGCCTGCATTAGTAGGCACCTCCTGGTTGTGTTGCCAGCATGACTACTTGGAGCATCTTTTTGCTTTTTCCTGCCAAAGTAGTACCTATTGATCTATTCACATTTGCATGTTTTCAAACTGCTAGTTTGGCAGGAGCTAGGGCTAACAATGGGAGCTCACCCCGTCCCATGGATTCGGATGCCAACCTTCAGGTCAGCGGTTCAGCAGCACAAAGGTTTAACTGATTGCGCCACTGTGGCCCCTATTATCTCCAACAGAGTACTACTTCTGGCCTTTTTGGATGACTGGGTGCAAAATGGGGGTAGCAGCTAGGAATGGGTAGCTTTTTGAGGCAACCCTGCACTTTCTCCCCTTTGTGGAATAACCCTTGACTTATCCACAAGTCATGCCAAAATCCA